CTGGACCAAACTGGAAGGGTTTGGTGGGCATTGACCTTGAGTTTGGGAGTTGTAGTTCACCCAGACAGCACTGTGGACTCAATGATCAATCTGTACCAAACTTGGCACGAATACTCCATATGCCCAAATGTGAACACTGCTGGGGTTTGGGGAAAATAAACCTTGACATTTGGGAGTTGTAGTTGCTGGGATTTATAGTCCACCTACAATCCAAGAGCATTCTGAACGCCACCAACGATGGAATTGGTATACAGGACTCCCATGACCAAGAGAAAACACTGGAAGGGTTTGGTGGGCATTGACCTTGAGTTTGGGAGTTGTAGTTCACCTACACCCAGAGAATACTGTGGACTCAGACAATGATCAATCAGGACCAAACTTTGCGCGAATACTCAATATGCCCAAACGTGAACACTGGTGGAGTTTGGGGAAAATAAAACTTGACATTTGGGAGTTGTAGTTGCTGGGATTTATAGTTCACCTACAATCAAGGAGCATTCTGAACCTCACCAACAACTGAACTGAACCAAACTTGGCACACAAAACTCCTATGATGAACAAAAAATACTGGGAGGGTTTAATGGGCACTGACCTTGAGTTTGGGAGTTGTAGTTCACCTACACCCAGAGAATACTGTGGACTCAGACAATGATCAATCAGGACCAAACTTTGCGCGAATACTCAATATGCCCAAACGTGAACACTGGTGGAGTTGCTGGGATTTATAGTTCACCTACAATCAAAGAGCATTCTGAATCCACCAACAATGGAATTGAACCAAACTTAGTACACAGAACTCCTATGACCAACAGAAAATATTTGAAGGTTGTTGTAGGTTTTCCGGGTTATATGGCCATGTTCTAGAGGCATTTTCTCATGACATTTCGCCTGCATCTATGGCAAGCATCCTCAGTGGTAGTGATGCAGGCGAAACATCAGGAGAAAATGCCTCTACAACGTGGCCCTATAGCCCGGAAAACCTACAACAACCCAATGATTCTGGCTATGAAAGCCCTTGAGTTTGGGAGTTGTAGTTCACCTACATCTAGGGAGCACTGTGGACTTAATGATGGATCTGGACAAAACTTGGCACAGATACTCAATATGCCCAAATGTAAACACTGGTGGAGTTTGGGGGAAATAGACCTTGACATTTGGGAGTTGTAGTTGCTAAACTTCACAAATAGTGAGCATTTCAAACCCAGCTTTCCAGCGAAAGGAGACGGAGACAATGGGTTTACACCAAAAGCTACACCTTTATTATGGGAGGGTCCATTTGAAACCTATGAAGACACAACAGTATGTCCAGGGGAGAATATCCCATTCACAGCTTGACTGTCCAGAGGCTTTGGTGTCCTTGTAGCTGGACAACAGAGTCCCCTGAGTGCAAAAAGGGTCCTTAGGAAGTCTAGAGCTCCCCGAGTTCGCCTTCGAGGGTCCGGACCATCAGATACAGCTCCGCCAGGCCCACAACGGAGGCGACAATCACAGCAGACAGGACACGCTGGAAGGAAGAGAAGAAAGATGGAGAAATAGAGCGTCAGCTGTCCTTCTGATTAAGGATTCATCCCTAAGAGCAAGATAATGCATTACAGATGGACTAGATGACCTTTGGGGTGCCCCACTCACCCTATGGCTTTATGACCCCGGCTTTGGGAATGGGAGAACACAAATGCTGTTCTCCCATCAGGCTCTAATGGGGGATGCTGGGTGTTGTAGTCCAACCGTATGGAGAGAATGCTCTAATGGGGATGTTGGGTGTTGTAGTCCAACCGTACGGAGAGAACATGGTTATTCCCATGTCTATTATGGCACTCACCGCCGCCATTTCTGCGAAGACGTACTGGCTGCCCAGGAAAGTACAAGCGAAGGCAGCTCCCACCGTGATGATGAAGTTGAAGACGTTGACCATCAGGGCTTTGGAGGACCGCACTGCAGGGGGGGGGGAGGAAGAGGGGCCTGTGAGGCATACGGGGGGTCTCCTTTGCAGGGTCTTGGGCAGTACGGACATTCACTAAGGGCGCAGCCACACCGTGGAACAAATGCGGTTTGGCACCACTTTCACTGCTATGGAACAATGGGAGTTTTGCAAACCCTTTTCCCTTCCTCTGCCAATCTGAGCAAATGACAACTCTCATAGAATCATAGAGTCAGAAGAGAGCCCATGGGCCATCTAGTCTAACCCCCTGCCATGCATGAAAAGCACTATCAAAGCACCCCTGACAGATAGCCATCCAACCACCACCACCACTACCACCAAGTTGGAAGAGACCCCATGGGTCATCTAGTCTAGCCCCTTGCCATGTGGGAAAAGCACAATCAAAGTATACCTGACAGATGGCCATCCAATCATCATCACCACCACCACTACCAACACCACCACCATCAAGTTGGAAGAGACCCCATGGACCATCTAGTCTAACCCCTTGCCATGCAGGAAAAGCACCATCAAAGGATCCCTGACAGATGGCCATCCAACCAACACCTCTACCACCACCACCATCAAGTTGGAAGAGACCCCATGGGTCATCTAGTCTAACCCCTTGCCATGCAGGAAAAGCACCATCAAAAGATCCCTGACAGATGGCCATCCAATCATCATCACCACCACCACCACCACGACCACGAGCCATCACCACTATGAGCCATCTAGTCATGGAAAGAGACCCCATGAACTATCTAGTCTAACCCCAAGCCATGCATGAACATCACAATCAAAGTATACCTGACAGATGGCCATCCAATCATCATCACCACGAGCCATCACCACTATGAGCCATCTAGTCATGGAAAGAGACCCCATGAACTATCTAGTCTAACCCCGGCCATGCAGGAACAGCACAATCAAAGTATACCTGACGGATGACCATCAATCTATCATCATCACCATCAGGTTGGAAGAGACCCTGACAGATGGCCATCCAACCATCACCACCTAACCCCTTGCCATGCAGGAAGAGCACCATCAAAGGATCCCTGACAGATGGCCATCCAACCATCACCGCCACCACGAGCCACCATCATCACCACCACCACCACCACCACCACCAAGTTGGAAGAGACCCCGACAGATGGCCATCCAACCATCACTATCACCACCACCATGAGCCATCTAGTCATGGGAAGAGAACCCTCAAGCCATCTAGTCTAACCCCAGGCCATGCAGGAAAAGCACAATCCAAGTATAACTGACAGATGACCACCAATCTATCATCATCATTGAGTTGGAAGAGACCTCATGAGCCATCTAGTCTAATCCCCTGCTATGCAGGAAAAGCACCATCAAAGTATACCTGACAGATGACCATCCAACTATCACCATCATCAATTTGTAAGAGATCATATGAGCCATCTAATCTAATCCCCTGCCATGCAGGAAAAGCACCATCAAAGTATACCTGACAGATGACCATCCAACTATCACCATCATCAATTTGTAAGAGATCATATGAGCCATCTAATCCCCTGCCATGCAGGAAAAGCACAATTGAAGTATTCCTAACAGATGACCATCCATCCACCACCACCACCGAGTTAGAAGAGACCCCATGAGCCAGGAAAAGAACAATCGAAGTATACCTAAAAGATGACCATCCGGCCATCAACATCACCATCACCGAGTTGGATGAGTCCCCATGAGACATCTAGTCTAACCCCTTGCCATGAAGGAACAGCACAATCCAAGCATACCTAACAGATGACCATCTGTCCACCACCACTGAGTTGGAAGAGACCCCATGAGACATCTAGTCTAACCCCTTGCAATGAAGGAACAGCACAATCCAAGCATACCTGACAAATGACCTTCTGTCCACCATCACCGAGTTGGATGAGACCCCATGAGACATCTAGTCTAACCCCTTGCCATGAAGGAACAGCACAATCCAAGCATACCTGACAGGTGACCACCCAGCTATCACCAAATAGTACCTTCCTTCCAGGACAAAGAGGAGGAACCACTGGGGTGAAGCACCCTTTGGGTTCGGTCACTTAAACAACTACAGAGCCACTGAATCGTAGCATTGCCTGTCCCTCATTGGACTACAACTTTGTTGTGGACCTTCCTGAAATCAAGATCTGCTCCGTCCATGGCCTTCCCGGCATCTACCAAGCTTGGAACTCTATCAAAACAATGCAACTGCGACCAACTGCGACCGTACCTTGGGAAGTCTGACTTGGCCACGGTAGTCCACGCTCTGGTTACATCCCGTTTAGACTACTGCAACGCTCTCTACGTGGGGCTGCCTTTGAAGACGGCTCGGAAGCTTCAACTAGTCCAACGCTCGGCAGCCATGATTCTAACAGGAGCGGAGCGCAGGGAGCATACAACCCCCCTGCTGCGCCAACTCCACTGGCTACCGATTGCTACCGGGTTCAATTCAAAGTGCTGGTTTTGGCCTTTAAAGCCCTAAACGGTTCTGGCCCAACCTACCTATCCGAACGTATCTCTGCCTATCAGCCCACCAGGGCCCTAAGATCTTCTGGAGAGTCCCTGCTCTCTATCCCGCCGGCTTCCCAAGCGCGGCTGGTGGGAACGAGAGACAGGGCCTTTTCTGTGGTGGCCCCTCGGCTTTGGAACACCCTCCCTATAGAGATACGATCGGCTTCTTCGCTGATGGTTTCCGGAAGAGGTTAAAAACATGGCTGTGTAGTCAAGCGTTTAACTAGTTATCAAACACTGAATCCATGGACAATTTGGACTGGTCAATTACGGACAACGATCTCTGGACTGCGATTTTTGTGATGAGAAGCATGAAGTTTTATTGGTGGCCCAATAATTCGTATTGTTTTATATGTTGCTGTTTTTAAATTGTATATTGCTTTTATCTGTTGTTAAACCGCAATGAGTCGCCGTTCCAGGCTGAGATACTGCGGTATATAAGTGTATTAAATAAATAAATAAATAAAATGAGCCCGGCATGACTTGTTTTTGAGGAATCCATACTGACTCTGCATAGCATCAAAGTGGTGCCAAACTGCATTCCTTCTACAGTGCAGATGTAGAAGGGGTTTGATTAAAGTCCTGATCGTAATCCTCTTGCCTCTCACCTTGTTTCCCGAACTCAGCCAGGTTTCCATAGCGGTTCAGCTCCTAGAAAGAGCCACAAACACGTCTTAAAGAAATCCCAATCAGAGGATACTGAGATTGGCAAGGAGCTCCGCTTATATCTCCAGCCCTTACCTGGGAGTTGATGTTCCTTGTGATTTTCCTATACTCCTCATTGGCCAGACGGGCCTTGATCTTCTCCAGCCGAGCCACCAATTCCGGATTCTGGGGGGAGAGGGTGTAATAATGAACACTCCCCAATTCTATGCTGGGAAACCCAACACATCTATTATTATGCTTGTTTATATCCCACTTTTTTCTCTCCACAAGCAGCTACGAGAGTTGAATGAAAAGTAATGCCTCCACCTTCGTAACTACTGGTATGCGGCAGGTACTGGCTTGTTCAGTAGACTTTCCTCTACACTTCCATTCTGGCGGGAAGCCTTAGCATTGAACGGTTGTGTTGTTAAAGTGAAAAGTAACGCCTCCACCTTTGTAACTCCTCAACAGATGGCAGTACTGGTATGTGGCAGGTACTGCCTTGTTCAGTAGACTCTCCTCTACAGTTTCATTTTGGCAGGAAGACTTAGCATTGAACAGTTGTGTTGTTAAAGTGAATAGTAATGCCTCCGCCTTCATAACTCCTCAACAGATGGCAGTACAGGTATGCATGAGCTACTGGCTTGTTCAGTAGACTCTCCTCTACAGTTCCATTTTGGTGGGAGGCCTTAGAATTGGACGGTTGTGTTGTTAAAGTGAAAAGTAATGCCTCCACCTTCGTAACTCCTCAACAGATGGCAGTACAGGTATGCATGAGCTACTGGCTTGTTCAGTAGACCCTCCTCTACAGTTCCATTCTGGCGGGAAGCCTTAGCATTGAATGGTTGTGTTGTTAAAGTGCCAAGTATGGAACCCTGCGCAGACGGTTGGCCAATGCGACCTAAGCAACGTGCAGTCATTGAATTCTTGACAGCAGAAGGTGTCGCCATAAAGGAGATTCATCAGGGAATGCAAGTTGTTTATGGTGATCGTGTTGGTAGAGTACTGTGCGTTGTTGGGCAAGTAAGTTTAAAGATTTTGAGAAGACACCTTCTGCTGTCAAGAATTCAATTTTTGCATGTTGCTTAAGTCGCATTGACCGACCATCTGCACAGGGTTCCATACTGCACATTTTAGCAACACAACTGTTCAATGGTAAGGCTTCCCACCAAAATGAAACCGTAGAGGAGAGTCTACTGAACAAGCCAGTCCCTACCGCAGTACTGCCATCTATTGAGGAGTTACAAAGGTGGAGGCATTACTTTTCACTTTAACAACACAACCATTCCATGCTAAGGCTTCCCACCAAAATGGAACTGTAGAGGGGAGTCCACTGAACAAGCCAGTACCTGCCGCATACCAGTACTGCCATCTGTTGAGGAGTTACGAAGGTGGAGGCATTACTTTCCACTTTAACGAAACAACCGTTCAATGCTAAGGCTTCCTGCCAAAATGGAACTGTGGAGGAGAGTCTACTGAACAAGCCAGTGCCTGCCACATACCATCCTGCCATCCGTTGAGGAGTTACGAAGGTGGAGGGATTACTTTTCACTTTAACAACACAACCATTCAATGCTAAGGCTTCCTGCCAAATGGAACTGTGGAGGAGAGTCTACTGAACAAGCCAGTACCTGCCGCATACCAGTACTGCCATCCGTTGAAGAGTTACAAAGGTGGAGGCATTACTTTTCATTCAACGCTCGTATGTATCTATTATAAGTATTAGAACATATCATTGTTATATTTATTCTTCACTTTTTCTCTCCACAAGAGACTCATTATATATGCCTACTGATAATAAACTAATGTTTTATAATAGGTGTCTATACCTAATAATAGATCTTTTTGAAAGCATCTACACTTTGCCTCGTGGTATTAATCCTGCAGAAGAGTCCTATCTGCTTCAGGACCAAGGTTCAAGCCCTGGCTCAATCCCGAAAAAAGTCACACCTTCTCAGCCTCGAAATGTAAGCAAAATACAAACCCTTGGAGGCAATTTCTCTTCAGGGAGGAAGATCTCGCTGCCTTCCAGCAGTTCGTGAAGGTACGTTTGGGATCCTAAGAGGCAACAAGACATCTTTTTATTTATTTCCAGTCATAATGTCATAAACTGCCTTGATGTATTGTCGAAGGCTTTCATGGCCAGAATCACTGGGTTGTTGTGAGTTTTCCAGGCTGTCTGGCCATGTTCCAGAAGCATTCTCTCCTGACATTTCACCCACATCTATGGCAGGCATTCTCAGAGGTTGTGAGGTCTGTTGGAAACTAGGCAAGTGGGGCTTACAGGCTGAGAAAGGCGGCATACAAATACAGTAAATACATAAAATAAAATAAATATTTCCAACATTTATATGCCGCACTTCTCACCCCGAAGGGGACTCAGAGCGGCTTACAAGATATATATACATACAGGTAAAGCTAAAAGTTTTCCCCTTGACATTAAGTCCAGTCGTGTCCTACTCTGGGGGTTGGTGCTCATCTCCATTTCTAAGCCGAAGAGCCGGCTTTGTCCATAGACACCTCCAAGGTCATGTGACCACTGGCACGACTACATGGAGCGGTACCTATTGATCTACTCAAAATCGCATGTTTTCAAACTGCTAGGTTGGCAGAAGCTGGGGTTGACAGCGGAAGCTCACCCCGCTCCCCAGATTTAAATCTGCGACCTTTGGGTCAACACGTTCAGCAGCTCAGCACTTTAATCCACTGTGCTCCGGGGGCTCCGGTATATACATACAATGTTTTATACTAATATAATCTATAATAATATAATATATAATACAATATTTATAATCTATAATAATATATACATACAATATATTATATTATTGGCATAGTATAATATCAGTATTATATATTACTATACTGTACTATACCATTGTATTATAGTATTAGTAATATTACATGTAATATAAAATATATTATTTATTTTATTTACAACCTTTATATGCCGCCCTTCTCACCCCGAAGGGGACTCAGAGTGGCTTACGAGATATATATACATACAATAGATTATATTATTAGCATAGTACAATATCAGTATTACTTATTACCATATTGTACTATATGATTACATTGTAATTAGTAATATTACACATAATATAAAATATATTTCTTATTTATTTATTTTATTTACGACCTTACAAGATATATATACCTACAATATATTATATTATTAGCATAGTACAATATCAGTATTGTATATTACTATAATGTACTATACCATTATCTTGTAAACTTATTAGTAGTATTACATGTAATATAAAATATATAATTATGATATTATTTATTTATTTATTTATGACCTTTATATTCTGCCCTTCTCACCCCAAATATATTATATTATTAGCATAGTACAATATCAGTATTTAATATATATTACTATTTATATATCTGTGGACTGTCTGGGTCTGCTTGAGGTAAGTGTGAATGTTGCAAATGGCCACCTTGATTCGCATTTAATGGACTTGTAGCTTCAAAGCCTGGCTGGTTCAGGAAAAACACAACAACAACACTATGATAATAATAATGATATATAATAATAACACAATAGGGTTGTTGTGAGTGTTCTGGACTGTCTGGCCATTGTCCAGGGTCTACTTGAGGTAAGTGTGAATGTTTTAATGGCCACCTTGATTCGCATTTAATGGCCTTGTAGCTTCAAAGTCTGGCTGGTTCAGGAAAAACACAACAATAACACTATGATGATAATGATATATAATAATAACATAATAGGGTTGTTGTGAGTGTCCTGGGCTGTCTGGCCATGCTGCAGAAGCATTCTCTCCTGACGTTTCGCCTGCACCTGTGGCAGGCACCCTCAGAGGCTGTGCCTTGGTATTCTGGGCCAGAGGGAAGGGAATCCTCCTTACCGGCGTCTCGCAGGAAGCGGTGCAGCCTCCGTGCCGCAGCGAAGGGGAGCCGGCCTCCTCCCTCCCCCGCCAAGGCCCGCTCCAGCTCGGATCGCAGCTCTTCCGGCAAACGCAGCGCCTCCGATCCGGAAAGGAAGCCTCGCAGCGGCTCTCCGGCTTTCAAGGAGGAAGCCATTTTGAAAGTCAGGGTGTCATGTGACTGAGGGGGGAAAAAAAGCGAGCGGTGGGCGTGGTCGTCTCGCTGATTGGTCCACTACTAGAGGGGGCGTGGCTTGGGGCGTTCCGCTCCCCGCGCGGGGCATTGTGGGATCGTGAGGGTGAGCGCCTCTGGTAATGGCGGCTGCGCGGAGCCGCGGCTTGGCCTTGGCGGCCGCTCTCCGCAAGGCCCGCTTCCCTCTGCCTCCGTCGCCCTCGGCCGCGCTCTGGAAAGGCCTCGGGGCCGGCGCTGAGCCGCCATTGGGAGCCTGGCCTGGACTCCCCGCCAGGCGCCTCCTCTCCTCAAGGTAAAGGGGGCGGGGCTTGCGGAGAGGGGCGGGGCCTACTCAAAGGGGCGGGGCTTCCCCTCAGGGATTCTTCCTCCTTGGACCACAACTCCCAGAATCCCTTTCGGGCACTGCACGCTTCCTCCTTGGGGTGAGTGTGTTGAAAGGGATTGTGGGACTTGTAGTCCTGTTGTGACCAGGCATGGGAAAGGGTTTTGAGCTGTTTCTATGGTGGAGAATGCTGGTCGCTTTCAAAGATGGCTTTGAAAGGCAGCAGATCACAGGAGCTGTCTTCATAGGCTTGTCCGCAGCCTATGAGACTGTCAACCACCACCGCCTCCTCCTGAGAAAAATGTATAATATCACAAAGGACGACCACCTCACCCGCCTCATAGGAAACCTGCTACAAAACAGGAGCTTTTTTGTTGAGTACCAGGGCCAGAGAAGCAGATGGCAGAAACAGAAGAATGGCCTGCCTCAGGGGAGCGTGCTTGCCCCATCCATGTTCAACATCTACACAAACGACCAGTCACTGCCAGAAGGGACAGAGAGCTTCATCTATGCTGATGATCGTGCCATCACCGCTCAAGCAAGGAGCTTTGGGATGGTAGAACAATAGCTTTCCAAAGCTCTAGGTGCTCTTACTGCCTATTACAGGGAAAACCAGCTGATCCCCAACCCATCTAAAACACAGACATGTGCCTTTCATCTCAAGAACAGAGAAGCATCCCAAGCTCTGAAGATCACCTGGGAAGGAATCCCACTGGAGCATTGCAGCGCACCCAAATACCTGTGAGTCACGCTGGACCGTGCTCTGACCTACAAGAAGCACTGCCTGAACATCAAACAAAAAGTGGGCGCTAGAAACAACATCATACGAAAGCTGACTGGCACAACCTGGGGATCACAACCAGACACAGTGAAGACATCAGCCCTTGCGCTATGCTACTCTGCTGCTGAGTATGCATGCCCAGTGTGGAACACATCTCACCACACTAAAACAGTGGATGTGGCTCTTAATGGACATGCCGCATTTTCACAGGTGTCTGTGCCCCACACCACTGGAGAAATTACACTGCTTAGCCAGTATTGCACCACCTGACATCCGCCGGGAAGTAGCAGCCAATAGTGAAAGGACCAAGGCAGAGACATCTCCAGCTCATCCCTTGTTTGGGTATCAGCCAGCACATCAATGACTTAAATCTAGAAATAGTTTTCTAAGATCTACAGAGACACTCGCTGGAACACTTCAGCAAGCGAGAGTCCAAAAGTGGCAGGCTCAAACCCAGAGCCTCAATCCGTGGGTGATACCAGATGAGAGACTCCCCCCTGGGCACACAGAAGACTGGGCAACTTGGAAGGTGCTGAACAGACTGTGCTCTGGCACCACGAGATGCAGAGCCAACCTTCAGAGATGTGGCTACAAAGTGGAATCCACGACATGCGAGTGCGGAGAAGAGCAAACCACTGACCACCTGCTGCAATGCAACCTGAGCCCTGCCACATGCACAATGGAGGACCTTCTTGCAGCAACACCGGAAGCACTCCAAGTGGCCAGATACTGGTCAAAGGACATTTAACCAACTACCAAACTCACAAGTTTTGTATTTTTCTGTTTGTTTGCTTTGTTCTGTTAAAAATGTAATATAATGGACTGGTTGCTCTGACACGACAAATAAATATAAATTAATGTAATTTACATATTACATATTAATGTATATAATATTATATAAAATAATAAGTACATTAAACTGTTGTCTCACACAATATAATACTATAATAATAATATTATTATAGTATTATATTGCACTTAGAACAAGAACAATCATAATAATGTTATATATAAAAATTATGATAATAATATTAATATTATATATTAATGTAATAATATATGTATAATATTATATGTAATAATAAATTAAATACATTAAACTGTTGTCTCACCCACTATACATATATATATATATAATATTAATACTATAATAATAATAATATGCACTTAGAACAATCATAATAATGTTATATATAAAATAATAATAATAATATTACTATTATATATTAATTAATGTAATAATATACGCATAATGTTATATGTAATAATAAATTAAACACATTAAACTGTTGTCTCACCCAATATAATACTATAATAATAATATGCACTTAGAACAATCATAATAATGCTATATATAGAAATTACTATATTACTATTATATATATTAATTAATGTAATAATACACATATAATATATATAATAATAGATTAAATACATTAAACTGTTGTCTCACCCACTATATATATATATATATATTTATATATTTATATATTTATATATATAATATTAATACTATAATAATACTATTCACTTAGAACAATCATAATAATGTTATATATAAAATAATCATAATATTACTATTGTATATTAATTAATGTAATAATATACGCATAATGTTATATGTAATAATAAATTAAATACATTAAACTGTTGTCTCACCCACTATATATATATATATATATATATATATATATATATATATATAATATTTATACTATAACAATAATATGCACTTAGAACAATCATAATAATGTTATATATAAAATTATTATAATAATATTATATCTTACATAAATAAAAATGTCATGTTAGTTTGTGGGACTAACATAACTCAAAAACCATTGGACGAATTGACACCAAATTTGGACACAAGACACTGATCAGGCCAACAAGTGACCATCACTCATAAAAACACTGAAAAACACAGCGGAAGAGACTGAAAAAGCCAAAGAACAAAAGAATACATTACAACGCACCCGCATTACAACGCAACGCATGCCCATTTGGGGGGGGGGGAGTTAAACTTTAACCGCTTGCTTTGTTGTGAGCTTAACAGAGAGAGATGGAGGTTGACCTTTGAGGCCAGTCTGCATTCCAGCCGCTTGACCGCCTCCCTTGAGCTTGACCCCTTCTCTTCCCTCTCCTTAGGAATCGTCCCGAAGGCAAAGTGCTGGAGACGGTGGGCGTCTTTGAAGCGCCAAAGCAGCAGGGCAAATACGAGACTGGACAGGTCAGTGGGCTTTCCCTGCAACTTTCACGGCTTCTGCCTCCATGCCCTCCTGGGATTTGTAGTTCACTCAGGCACCAACTCCCAGATGCGCTCTGAAGCATTATCTCTCCCCCCTCTGCCTTTTTCTCTCTTTCAGTTGTTTCTGCACAGCGTCTTCGGATACCGGGGGATTGTCCTCTTTCCTTGGCAAGCAAGGCTTTATGACCGAGACGTCGCTTCTCCAGTCCCCGAAAAGTAAAGTCAAAATCTCATTCAGTGGAGGGCTTTTAAGCAGAGGTTGGATGGCCATCCATCAGGAGGGATCAGATGGCGTCTTTCTTTCCGGCAGATGGGTTTGGACTGGATGGCCTTTGGGTGTTCCACCAATCTGTAGGATTCGATGATGATGATGATGATGATGATGATGATGATGATGATGATGATGATGATAATAATAATAATAATAAACTTTATTTATACCCCACCACCATCTCCCCAAGGGACTCGGACCGGCTTACAGGAGGCCGCGCCCATCAATACAAAAACGCAATATAACACAAAAACACAACAGAAAATCAGAAAATAAAATGCAAAAATACAAAATGTAAATATACAGCACGACAACATAAAATCAAAATATTAAAACCACTAAAAATGAACACAATGGGCATTGTTATTATTTTTTGTAAATTAATTTTATTAGTATAGTAAAGTGGGGGAATATTGTGAAGATAGAAAAGTAGGAAAAGAATTAGGACATAAAGTGGCAAAATACATATATATATATAAAAGAGAAAAATGAGAAAAAGAAAAAAGTTGCATTATTATTATTATTATTAAGCTGGATGGCTATCTGTTGGGAGGGATCGGATGGTATCTTTCTTTATAGCAGAAGGGGGTTGGACTGGATGGTCCTTGGGAGTCCTTTCCAACTCTAGGAGTCTAATAATATTGCGATAGTACTACTACTACTACTACTACTACTACTAATAATAATAATAATAGATCATTATGATGAGAGGTCTTGTCCAACTCTATTATGAGTCTAATAATACCATAACAATAATAGTAATAATAATAATAGATAATAATGATGATGACGATGTTGCTATCTTACTGCCTGGCAGAACAGGGTTAGACTGCATGGCCTTTGGGGGCTCCTCTTGACAATAATATTCTATGATGATGATTATTATTAAGCTGGATGGCCATCTGTTGGTAGGGATTGGATGGTATCTTTCTTTATAGCAGAAGGGGGCTGGACTGGATGGCCCTTGGGGGTCCTTTCCATCTCTAATAATACGGTGATGATAACAATAATAGATAGATAATGATGATAATGATGCTATCGTCCTACGTTACATAACAGGGTTGGACTGGATGGCCTTTGGGGGTCCTTTCCAACTTTAGGATTCCATAATAATAATAATAATAATAATAATAATAATAATAATAATAGTAATAATAATGATGATGCTATCTTCCTGCCTGGCAGAACAGGGTTGGACTCATGGCCTTTGGGGGTCCCTCCTGACAATAGGATTCTATGATTATTATTATTACTGTTGAGCTGGATGGTCATCTGTCGGGAGGGATCGGATGGTATCTTTCTTTACAGCAGAAGGGGGCTGGACTGGATGGCCCTGGGGGGTTCTTTCCAATTCTGTGAGTTGGGTACCTAGAGTTGGGAGGGAGCTCCATAGGTCATCCAGTCCAGCCCCCTTCTGCTATAAAGATACCATCCAATCCCTCCCGACAGATGACCTCCTTCCAAGCATCCTATTTTGCCCGATATCCGGTCTGAGATACTTTAGCCGCTCTCTTTCCTTCCAGAGGGGAGAACGGAGCCGGCCACGGATCCAAAGAAGTCAAAGGGAAGACGCACACCTACTACCAGGTCCTAATAGACGCCCGCGACTGCCCTCATATAGTAAGTGTGCCTCCCTTTGGTCCAGATCCATGGTCTCTGGGTGTGGGTGGACTACGAGTCCCATCATCCCGGCCTCAAGCATTGTTTTCCTTGTCTCCCTCCAGTCCCAGAGATCGCAGACGGAAGCCGTGACTTTCTTAGCCAACCACGACGACAGCCGGGCCCTCTACGCCATCCCAGGTGAGCGAAGCAGGTGCCTCAAAGGCTCAGGAGGGACCCCCAAAGGACATGTAGTCCAGCCTCTTTCTGCCAAGCGGCAGGAGGGCACCATCCAAACCCTCCCGACAGATGGCCATCGATTCTCTGTTTCAAAATCTCCAGAGAAGGAGACTCCAGGGCAGTCTATATTTCATTTATTATTGTTACGTCTTGTCCAACTCTATTACGAGTCTAATAATACCATAATAATAGTAATATAATAATAATAGTTAATGATGATGATGATGATGTTGCCATCTTCCTGCCTGGAAGAACAGGGTTGGGCTGCATGGCCTTTGGGGGTCCCTCCTGACAATAGGATTCTATTATTATTATTATTACTACTACTACTTTTAAGCTGGATGGCCATCTGTCAGGAGGGATTGGATGGTATCCTTCGTTATAGCAGAAGGGGGTTGGACTGGATGGCCCTTGGGGTCTTGTCCAACTCTATTATGAGTCTAATAATACTCTAATAATTTATTATTATTATTATTATTATTATTATTATATGTTATTATTATTTTGGTTGCATGTACATAACATCACAGCACACATGCACATTAGGTCCAAGTGTCTGGACAAGTGTCTGGACCTCTGAATATTGGGCTCTTCCCTAAGATTTTAGAGGTCTTACTAGATAATAACGGTGCTCCATGCAGTCATGCCGGCCACATGACCTTGGAGGTGTCTACGGACAACGCTGGCTCTTCAGCTTAGAAATGGAGATGAGCACCAACCTCCAGAGTTGGACATGACTGGACTTAATGTCAGGGGACAACCTTATTATTATTATTTATTTATTATTTGCATTTGTTAACCGCCACTCTCAGCCCGAAGGCGACTCGTGGCGGTGTACAGAACATAGAACATAAAGACAACAGTTACAGTGAATTAAGATCATGACGCACATCAACTAACACACAACTAATTAAACTAAAAATCCGCTTCGTCTTGTTTGGGTCATAGTCAAACTCGTGGTCATAGTCCATTCCGGTGGTCATTCCAATACATAGCACCTAATTGAAGGCCTTTTCGAAGAGCCAGGTCTTCAGGCCCTTACGGAAGGCCATGAGGGAAGGCGCCTGTCTAATTTCAGCAGGGAGGGAGTTCCATAGCCGGGGGGCCACCACCGAGAAGGCCCGTTCTCTAGTCCCCGCCAAGCGTGCCTGTGAGGCAGGCGGGACCGAGAGAAGGGCCTCCCCGGATGATCTCAAGGTCCTCGTGGGCTCGTAGGCCGAGATGCGGTACTCAAGGTATTTTGGGCCGGAACCGTTTAGGGCTTTGTAGGTTAGAACCAGCACCTTGAATTGGGCCCGGTAGCTAATCGGCAGCCAGTGAAGCTGGGACAGCAAGGGCGTTGTGCGCTCCCTGCGTCCTGCTCCGGTTAACAACATGGCTGCCGCGCGCTGAACTAGCTGGAGCTTCCGGGCCGTCTTCAAGGGCAGCCCCACGTAGAGAGCGTTGCAGTAGTCAAGGCGCAACCCCACGTAGAGAGCGTTGCAGTAGTCTAAATGGGATGTAACCAGAGCGTGGACTACCGTGGCCAAGTCAGACTTCCCAAGGTACGGGCGCAGCTGGCGCACAAGTTTTAACTGTGCGAATGCTCCCCTGGTCACCGCCGAAACCTGGGGTTCCAGGCTCAGCGATGAATCCAGGGTCACAACCAAGCTGCGAACCTGCGTCTTCAGGGGGAGTGCGACCCCGTCCAACACAGGCTGTAACCCTATACCCCGTTCGGCCTTGCGACTGACCAGGAGGACCTCTGTCTTGTCTGGATTCAATTTCAATTTGTTCGCCCTCATCCAGACCGTCACAGCGGCCAGGCACCGGTTCAGGACCTCGACAGCCTCCTTAGTAGCAGGTGGAAAGGAGTGACAGAGTTGGACATCATCTGCGTACAGCTGACACCGCACCCCGAAACTCCGGATGATCTTACCCAGCGGCTTCATGTAGATATTAAACAACATGGGGGACAGTATGGAACCCTGTGGAACCCCAAAGGCTGTGGTGTTGAACAGGAGTCCCCCAATAACACCTTCTGGGTACGACCCTCCAGAAATGACTGGAGCCACCGCAAAGCGGTGCCCCCAAGACCCATCTCTGCAAGGCGTCCCAGAAGAATACCGTGGTCGACGGTATCGAAGGCCGCTGAGAGGTCCAGAAGCACCAACAGGGACACACTCCCCCTGTCTAGCTCCCGGCGCAGATCATCCACTAAGGCGACCAAGACCGTCTCAGTTCCATGTCCCGGTCTGAAACCAGACTGTGCCGGATCCAGATAATCCGTGTCTCTCAAGAATACCTGGAGTTGTGAGGCCACCACGCTTTCCATGACTTTGCCCAAAAAGGGGAGATTGGAAACAGGCCGAAAGTTGTCAAATTTAGTGGGGTCCAGTGATGGTTTCTTCAACAGCGGCTTTATAATAGCCTGTTTTAGGCTCGCTGGAATCGTGCCTTCCCGAAGGGAGGCATTAACCACCACCGTTACCCACTCAGCCAATCCCCCTCTGGCCTCTTTCAGAAGCCAGGATGGGCAGGGGTCTAGGATGGACGTGGTAGGCCTCATTCCTCCAAGTATCTTGTCCACATCCTCGGGTTTCACAAGCTGAAAAGAATCCATCAAAATAGGACAAGCAGGTGCTTGTGTCACATCCACAGAGACTGCATTTAATGTGGCGTCCAGCCCAGAACGGATCAAAGCGACTTTGTCTGCAAAGAACCGAGCAAATGCTTCACAGCGCGTGGCCGAGTTGTCAGGGCTCCCACCTGAGGTAGGGGGAGTTAAAAGACCTCTGACAATCCGAAACAACTCCGCCGGACGGTTTTTTGCAGACGCAATAGTAGCCGCAAAGAAAGTTTTCTTTGCGGCTTTTATTGCCGCGGCATATGCCCTTAAAAAGGACACAAACCGTGCTCGATTTGGCTCGCTTGGGTCCGAGCGCCACACGCTCTCCAGTTCCCTCTTCCTTCGCTTCATCGCTGCCAGCTCCTCAGTGAACCAAGGAGCTGGTTTAGCTCGGTTACTTGAGAGGGGACGTTCCGGAGCGATCCTGTCAATGGCCCTGGTCATCTCCCCATTCCAGAGAGCGACCAAGGCCTCGACATGGTCACCTACCGAGGCGGCGGGAAAATCCCCAAGAGCCGTCAGGAATCCGTTCGGATCCATAAGCCTCCTGGGGCGGACCATCTAGTGGGTCCTCCACCTTTGCGGAGGTTAGGGGGCGCAGTAAGCCTAAATCTGATCAGGAAGTGGTCGGTCCATGGCAACGGAGAGATGGACAACTCCTCCACACCGCCACCTTGCTCCCATCCCTGACAGAAAACCAAGTCCAATGTGTGTCCAGCACAGTGGGTAGGGCCAGTTATTTGTTGGGACAGCCCCATGGTTGCCATGGCAGACATGAAGTCCTGAGCCGCTCCTGTGAGGGTCGCTTCGGCATGGATGTTGAAGTCCCCCAGCACAAGAAGCCGTTGGGACTCCACTACCAGGCTCGAGACCACCCCCGCTAGCTCAGGCAGGGAGACTGTAGTGCAGCGAGGTGGACGGTACACTACAAGAATCCCTATTCTGTCCCGGTCACCCACCCTCAGGTGGACGCATTCGAAATTTGTGGTCTGTGGGATGGGACTCCTGGTCAGATGGATGGAATCTCTATAGACCACTGCGACCCCGCCTCCCCGTCCTCCGGCTCTTGGTTGGTGTTGCACGGAGAAGCCTGGAGGACAAAGCTGGGAGAGGTTTACGCCCCCCGCTTCATCCAACCAGGTCTCCGTGATGCACGCCAGATCTGCCCGCTCTTCCAGGATTACATCCTGGATCCAAGTTGTTTTTCCGTTGACAGATCTGGCGTTCAACAACACCACCTTCAAACCAGAGGGCCCGCTCACCTGGTTACACCAATTTACCTTAGGAGACCGATTGGGGGTTATTAATGTGGATAAGCGGTCCGAATTAGGCCGAATTCGAGGTCTCCTTTTCCCGCATCTCCTCCTTCCCACCACGACCTCTATGGGGGCCCCTCGGCTCGTGGAACACCTCCCCCCCTCCATGCCGCAGTCTAACGCCCCCCTCCCCACCTCATTTTTATTTATAGGGTTCAACCCACCTCCTCCCCTGTCCCTCACACTATACAGTAGTAGCAGGGATAACACACAGAGGGGGATAGGGGACCACATAGATGACAGCGGTACAAGGCGGTGTTGGATCTTCTGGCCACACAACAAGAAAAGTTCATAAAGTGCACAATAAATAACTAGATCTAAAGTGCAGTTGCTATAGTAGTTAAAGTGCAGTAGCTAAAGTGCAGTAACTACAGTGCGGCACGGAGGGCTAGGAAGGGATGAAGTGCTAGTGCGATTGGAAGTGTTAATGGCGGCACAGGCAGGCGCCTTAAAGTGCTTTCATTCATAAAGTGCTATATTACAGCTGATATAAGCCCGGAATGTGCAAGCTGGTATATAAACACCCTCCAATGGGGCAGAGATGATGATCAATTAACTTAAGCTAATTATAACCCAGATGGGATCACAAGACGGTCGAAATGAAGCGGATGGGGCTTCCGGAGATGGTGACTCGACATGGGCAGCGACTACACACTCTGTACTACACAGAAGGAGGTCAGCCTAAAGGTCTACACAAGGCTAGCATAAAGGTCTACACAACGGTCTGCACAGAGGTTACACAGAAACTGTACAGAGGAGGCCAACACAATATTAGGTCTACACAAAAATCACGAAAAGGTCAGCACAAGATGTCAGCTCTGAGGTCTGCACAGGAATAGCCAGACCCTCCGTAGGCCGCAGCCCAGCTGCAGCTGGTGATGGTGATGGCGGCTGCAGCAATGGTCTGGCAGTGACTGCCACCCGATGGGAAGACAACGACAGCCCTAAGTCGAAGCGGCTGCGGCGGTCTGGCGGTTGTTCGGCCTCTCCCGCGAGATGATGGTGGTCTCGTCCGGGCGGCAGCGATGACGGCCCAGCGGTATAGGCAGCCGCCCAACGGCGGCCCGTTGGAAATAGGGCGCAGCGGCTGCAGCTCTACGAAGCGGCGGCGGCGGTCCGGCGGCCCGGCGGCGACTCAGCTCCCACAGAGGGCGACCTCGTTCAGGGCGGTGGTGACAACGCCTGCATTGACTGCGGCCCGTCAGCAGCGGCGGTCCCAACAGCCGCGGGGGAGTCGGCAGCTCCGCGTCGGCCCTTGCCCTTGCCTGGAGGTCGCGATCTAGTGGTGTCCCTGCAAGGGTCCAGCCAGCCCAGCAAGGTCCAATAACGGCCCGGTGGTGCTCCAGCCAGTTGTAGGGCCTACTGCGGAACGGCACTCACCCCTTCCCCCTTCCGGGCCACGGCGGCAGCGGCCCAATGATGGTCCCGATCCGCAGCCTAGGAGTAATGGCGGCCGCGGCAGCGTCGGCCCGGTGGTTACAGCCTAGCAACGACTTGGCAGCGACTTGGCGCCGGTCCGGCCGGCCCGGAGATGGCCTGGGGGAGGTGGTCTGGGGGTCGTAGCAGCGGTGGTCCGGCGGTGTTCGACCCCACCGCAGGCGGCAGCGGCCCCGCCCAGGTGGCAGCCCAGCGGCTCAACAGGAGCGGGCCCAGCAACGCCCGGGAGAATGGCGGCTCGGCGAGAGCTGAGGCAGTTTGGCGGCAGCTGCGGCGGCCCAGCCAAGGTGAAGAGCTGCTGGGGGCCCGGTGAATGCAGCTGCCGCGGCGGCGGCCTTGCGTTGGTCCAGCCAGCCGACCGCCGACTGAGAGGCCGCGGGGATGCCGAGAACGCAAGGGTGCAGGTAGGACGGGCCACGTTGTAATGGCGACCGCTTCTCCTCCTCCTTCTCCCCTTGCTTCAGCTTTTCCTCCGCCTTCTTAGCTTTTCCTCAGCTTCACAACCCTCTATGGGGAGCCTGAGGCTCAGGATTTCTTACCCCTCAATTTACCGGTGGATTGATGAGGGGATGGCACAGATTCCTTTCGGATTATCGAGAGTTAGGTGGAGCAGCTCTGTGTTTCCAGCCGCTTGCCACCATGCCGGAACCGGAAGCCCTTTACCTTTACCTTACTAGATAATAATAACAATAATAATATAATGAATAATAATATAATGAATATATTGTATAATAATATATAATGAATATAATGAATACTATTAACGGAGACTATTAATATTATAAATTGCAATAATACTATATTGTCATATTAACAATAATATTATTTATTTATTTACTAGACAATAATAACAATAATAATATAATGAATACAATGAATAATAATATAATGAATATAGTATATAATAATATATAATGAATATAATGAATACTATTAACGGAGACTATTAATATTACGAATCGCAATAATACTATATTGTGATATTAACAATAATATTATTTATTTCCGACATTTATATGTTGCCCTTCTGACCCTGAAGGGGATTCAGAGATATATACATACAATATATTATATTATTAGCGTAGTACAAAATCAGGTATTAAATGCTACTATATTGTACTATACCATTCTATTGTAATATTATTAGTAATATTACATGTAATATAAATATATAATTATAATATCATATTATATATATTATATAATATAATAATATAAGATACTAAATTGTATTAATTAAAATATAAATAATATAATATATTAATAACAATAACAAGATAATGAATACTATGTTATTATTAATAATATATTAATATATTATTATTAATAATAATAATAATAAAGAACTGGTGGCATCTCATGCTTCAAAAGATTACGGAAAATGAACACGTCAAACTACTCTGGGACTTCCAAATTCAGACTGACAGAATTTTGGAGCAAAAATACTTATATTAAAAGCATTTCAATACAATTTAAAATCTGCCGATATATTTGTTGGGTGGGATCCTAAAAGAGCATCCAACCTGACCCCCTTTTGCAAGGCAGGAATACACAATCAAAGCCCTCCCAAGAGATGGCCTGTCCAACCCTTGCTTGGCTGGGACTGGGAGGGAATTGCTGCCAGACTTGAGAAAGATATCCTTTGTTTCATTCTGGAAATAATAATAAATAATGAATTGTTTGCCCCTTTTTTCCTTCCTAGGCCTCGACTACGTCAGCCATGAGGACATCCTTCCCTATTCGTCCACTGACCAGCTCCCCATCCAGCATGAACTCTTTGAACGGTTCCTCCTGTATGACCAGGCAAAAAGTAATTTCAAACAAAAGTCTTTTATGTGGGGAGACAATGTTCTGCCAACTCAGGGGGCATCAACACTGTTGAATTATTAGTCATTGGGATGGATTTCTTGACTTTTTCTAGGCTTAGGATGTGAATTATGACTTGCTTTATTACTATTATTATATATGAGCACAGACTACATTATCGTCGACATATTGGAGTTCTATAACAAATGCTGTAGGTCTTCTGAATGAGCACAGACTATGTTATCATTAGCATATTGGAGTTCTATAACATGCTGTAGGTCTTCTTCTGAATGAGCACAGACTATGTTATTGTCAGCATATTGGAGTTCTATAAAAAGGTCTTCTTCTGAATGGGCACAGACTGTTATTGCCAGCATATTGGAGTTCTATAACAAATCCTGTAGGTCTTCTGAATGAGCATAGACTATGTTATTGACAGCAGTTTGGACTTCCATAACAGATGCTGTAGGTCTTCTGAATGAGCACAGACTACATTATCATCGGCATATTGGAGTTCTATAACATGCTGTAGGTCTTCTTCTGAATGGGCACAGACTATGTTATTGCCAGCATATTGGAGGTCTATAACAAATCCTGTAGGTCTTCTGAATGAGCATAGACTATGTTATTGTCAGCATATTGGAGTTCTATAACAGATGCTGTAGGTCTTCTGAATGAGCACAGACTACATTATCATCAGCATATTGGAGTTCTTTAACAGATGTAGGTATTCAGGATGAGCACAAACTGTGTTATTGTCTGCTTTGTATACTGCTTTGAGTCCCTCTTGGGATGAGAAAAGCGGTATACAAATACTATAAATAAATAAGTAAATAAATTATTGTCAGCATATTGGAGTTCTATAACAAATTCTGTAGATCTTCTGAATGAGCATAGACTATGTTATTGTCAGCATATTGGAGTTGTATAACAGATGCAGTAGGTCTTCTGAATGAACACAGAGTACGTTATCAGCATACTGGAGTTCTATAACAGATGTAGGTCTTCGGAATGAGCACAGACTATGTTGTTGTCAGCATATTGGAGTTCTACAAATGCTGTAGGTCTTCTTCTGAATGAACATAGACTGTTATTGTCAGCATATTGGAGTTGTATAACAGATGCTGTATGTCTTCTGAATGAGCACAGAGCATGTTATCATCAGCATATTGGGGTTCTATAACAGATGCTGTAGGCCTTCTGAATGAGCACAGAGACCGTTATCATCAGTATATTGGCGTTCTATAACAGATGCTGTAGGCCTTCTGAATGAGCACACAGACTGTTATCATCAGTATATTGGGGTTCTATAACAGATGCTGTAGGCCTTCTGAATGAGCACAGACACATTTTTTCAAATGCGGTGCTCTAGAGTCTGTCTATCTGTCTCTCTCTTTCAAGCGCCCCCCTTTGTGGCGAGGGACACCTTGTGCGCCTGGCAGGAGAAGAACCATCCCTGGCTAGAGCTCTCCGACGTTCACCGGGAGACCACCGAAAACATCCGGGTCACCGTCATCCCCTTCTACATGGGCATGCGGGTAAGCGGAGCAGCCTTCGGGGTCCGTGGGGCCGCCTCTGGGCCGGAGCCCGGGTCAGTGACCCTTGCGTCTTTTCTTCCCTCTGCAGGAAGCCCAGAACTCCCATGTGTATTGGGTGAGTGGATATTCACTTAATTCCTTGCATACTCTGTTTTGCCCCTGGCGTAGGGACCCCAAAGCAGCTGGGTGGCCATCTGTCGGGAGGGCTTGGATGGTGTTCTTCCATTATGACAGAACGGGGTTGGGCTGGATGGCCTTTGGGGGTCTCTTCCATTATTAATAATAATAATAACAATTGATAATAATAAAAAAATATTTTTTTTCATGTTGGGAACGACTTGAGAAACTGCAAGTCGCTTCTGGTGTGTCTGCAAGGATGTGTTACCATCCTGTGGGAGGCTTCTCTCATGTCCCTGCATGTGGAGCAGGAGCTGACAGACGGGAGCTCACCCTGCTCCCCGGATTCGGATGTCGCCCAGGGGAGGCCTGGATATTTTACTCGTGTTCCCACATGGGGAGCTGGAGATGACAGATGGGAGCTCACCCCGCTCCCCAGATTTGGACGTCACCCAGGGAATGCCTGGGTGTTTTTCTCGTGTCCTCGCATGGGGAGCTGGAGCTGACAGGCAGGAGCTCACCCCACTACCCAGATTTGGACGTTGCCCAGGGGAGGCCTGGATGTTTTTCTCGTGTCCCCGCATGGGGAGTTGGAGCTGACAGACGGGAGCTCACCCCGCTCCTCGGATTCGGACATTACCCAGGGGATGCCTGGATGTTTTAGATGGCCTTTGGGGGTCTCTTCCAATGCTGCTTAACAATATATAAAGAGTATATGTTTCGTGTATTGTTGAAAGCTTTCATGGCTGGAATTACTGGGTTGTTGTGAGTCTTTTGGAGTGTCTGGCCATGTTCCGGAAGCATTCTCTCCTGACATTTCACCCACATCTATGGCAGGCATCCTCAGAGGTAATAATATATTATACTATGACATAGCTAATCACCTCTCAACAAAGGATTTCCCCAGGCAGTAAGAAGCCAGACCTTGAAACTGCTAGGCCATTCCATGCTAATCAAGATGACCAATTGTTACATTCACACCTACTTCAAACAGACGAGAGTTCTTTCTTTCTCCCACCCTGGACATCATTCCACAGATATATAAACCCCATTTTCCTAGTTCCCAACAGACCCCACAACCTCTGAGGATGCCTGCCATAAATGTGGGTGAAACGTCAGGAGAGAATGCTTCTGGAACATGGCCAGACAGTCCAGAAAACTCACAACCACCCAGTAAATGTTGTAGAATTATGCAGTTTGAAGGGAGCCCTAAAGGTCATCCAGTCCAACCCCATTCACGCGGGGATGCACCATCCAAGCCTTCCCGGTAGATGGCCACTCAGCCTCTGCTTAAAATACCTCCAGAGGTAGAAGGAAACTCCACCAGACTCCTAGGAAGCCGGGGCGCTCTTGCTACACCTTTGTTTTCCTTCCTTTTTGGTCTAGTGGCGCTACTGCATTCGCCTGGAGAACCTGGACAACGAAGTGGTGCAGCTCCGGGAGCGGCACTGGCGCATCTTCAGCCTGTCGGGCACTTTGGAGACCGTCCGTGGCCGGGGCGTCGTGGGCAGGGTGAGTGTCAAGACCTTGGTGGTTGCGTGTTAAGAGGCTCCTCGCTGGCCATACATTGTTGTTTTGCCAGAAAAGTGACCCTAACCTACATATCATAAAGTCAGGCCTGGCAGAAGTTTCGAAACAAAAGATGCGCCAATTGAACGAAAGACCTTTTTTTCTCTCTCTCTGTTTTTAGGAGCCCGTCTTATCCAAAGAGCAGCCGGCCTTCCAGTATAGCAGCCACGTCTCTTTGCAGGCCTCCAGCGGACACATGTGGTGAGGAGCGGAAGGAAATAATCATATTTTACAATCATTATAATAATATATTAGAATGTAATATTAGAATAATATATATTAGTATAATATTAATATAAATAATATAATATAATAATATGTATATAACAATATATTAATAACATATACTATATTATAATATTAACAATAATACAATAATATATAATATAATATTAATAGCAATAATACTATAGTATAATATTAACTATAATATAATAAAATAATACTATATTGATAATATTAAATAATATATTAATAATAATAGCATTATGTAATATGACTTTTGTGCCTGGGTTACAAAATGTCATTTCCTAATTGGTTCCATCATTAAAAGATGGAAAAAAGTTTATTAAACTACCAATGCTTTGTTTAATTGGAGGCACGAAAAGAGGCGGTGAGACCTACCTTGTCCATACTCTTTTTGAATGATGCAATTGGATATTATATTATATTATTTACAACATTTATATGCCGCCCTTCTCACCCTGAAGGGGATGCAGAGCGGCTTACAAGATATATATATTGTATTATTATTGTATTATTATCTCTTCCGCTGTGTTTTTCAGTGTTTTTATGTGTTATGGTCACTTGCTGGCCTGAGAGGGGTATTGGGTCCAAATTTGGTGTCAATTTGTCCAATGGTTTTTTAGTTCTGTTAATCCCAAAAACAAACATTACATTTTTATTTATATAGACTAGCTGTACCCTCCACGCGTTGCTGTGGCCAACCTTCCCTCCCTCTTTCTTTCCTTCTTTCCCTCCTTCCTTTGCTCCCTCTTTTCTTCTTTCCTACTCTTCCTTTTCTTCTTTCCTTCCTTCTCTACCTCTTCCTTCGCTTTTTGCTTCCATGCTTCCTTCGCTTTCTTTCCTTCCTTCCCTCTTTCTCTCCTTCTTTCCATCCTTCCTTCTCTCCTTCTCTCCCTTTTCTTCTTTCCTTCCCTCCTTCCTTCTCTACCTCTTTCTTTCTTTCCTTCACTTTTTGCTTCCTTCTTTCCTTCTCTCTTTCTTTCCTTCCCTCTTTCTCTCCTTCTTTCCGTCTTTCCTTCGCTCCGTCTTTCCTTCCCTCCCTTTTCTTCTCTACCTCTTTCTTTCCTTCGCTTTTTGCTTCCTTCTTTCCTTCCTTCTCTTTCCTTCCCTCCCTCTTTCTCTCCATTCCTTCCTTCCTTCCCACCCTTTTCTTCTTTCCCACCCTTTTCTTCTTTCCTTCCTTCTCTACCTCTTTCCTTCCTTCCTTCACTTTTTGCTTCCATCCATACTTCAGTCTCTCCTTCTTTCCCTCCTTCCTTCAATCCCTCTTTCCTACCTTCCCTTTTTTTCCTTTCCTTCTCTCCTTCCTTCCTTCTCTACCTCTTCCTTCCTTCCCCTTTTTTCTTCCTCTTTCTCTCCTTTCTTCCGTACCTCTTTCCTTTCTCCCTCCCTTCCTTCCTCCCTACTTTGTTTCTTTCTTTCCCTCCCCACCTTTTTTCTTTCTTTCTTTCTTTCTTCCTTCCTTTCTTTTTTTCTCTCTTCCTTCCTTCCTTCCTTTTTTTCTTTCTTCCCTTCCTTCCCTCCCTTCCCTCCCTCTTCCTTCCCTTTTGTCTGTATCATCATTTAGCTTTTTTGGGTTTTTAAGTCCTTTCCACTGTTTTTTTGGAGGGGGATTATGAGTGATGGTCCCTCGTTGGTCTGTTAGGGGTGTAGTGTCCAAATTTCGAGTCAATTTGTCCAGTGGGTTTTGAGTTCTGTTAATCCCACAAACAAACATTACATTTTTATTTATATAGATTAGTAATATATAACGATAATATCATATTATTATTCCAGTGAGTTCTGACTAAAGCAGAATACAGTTGACACTCTGGCTTCCCTTGATCTGGACACCAGGCTCCTAGGAATGCAGCCTATTGATTGTGTTGGCCTTTTTTGCTGCCACATGACACTCCTGGCTCCCATTCCACCCATGGCCTCAATTCTCCCCATTGTTTCTCTCCTTAGAAGCATAGAATAATAGAGTTGGAAGAAACCCCATGGGCCATCTAGTCCAACCCCCTACTGTGCAGTAACCATGCTCAGTGTCAGCACTGCACCACTTTCTCCTCCTTATGATGATGGTGGGGTTTGTTTACACCCTGCTTTCTCTCCCCTCAGGGGCACTTTCCGCTTCGAGCGTCCGGACGGCTCCCACTTTGACGTCCGGATCCCTCCCTTCTCCTTGGAAAGCAATAAGGACGAGAAGACCCCTCCTTCTGGCCTGCATTGGTAGAGCGCCTTCATCAACCCCCCATTCCCCCCAATTTTGGACTGCTTTGCTTCCCCCTTTCCTTCCCTCAAAGCGAACCCCTTAACAGTCAAAAACTGCAAAATGGGTTTCGATTAAAAGCACTAATAGCGCTGGGTTTGAGGGAAGGCAGCCAATATTTCCATTTGATCTGAAAGTCAGGCAGTTTGGAAAAAGGGAGATCTAGTTTTGGGGGGATTTGGGGGTTCATGCACTTGGGGATGGCTCCATCTTTGCTTTATAGGCCCGTGTGGTTAGAAATAATAATTTGGCCCGTATCTCAATACTATGGGGTCCTGGGAGTTTTAGTTTGGTGAACTCTAACTCTCACAACCCCCCCCCCCACAGCACACAAACTGGGTTAATTGTCCTGTGTAGATGCCTCTGTCCCACATTGTTGACCAATATGAGTGACCCCAAAAGGATTATAAAGACCTCTTTTGCTCCTGTTTCCTTTCTTTGGGGCTGGGAATCCGGAAGGTATTATTATTATTATAAGTGATGACTTTGGGAGTTTTTTGGGGACTTCTCCCAGCTTGTGCTTCCAGGGGCCGGCCTTGCCATGTAAATACCTGTAAAGAACGTTCAAAAACAATAATAATAAAAGGAAAATAAAATCAACATTGGGTTTTAAAACTTCAAAGGTGTGGAAGGCATCTCTGACCCCAAAGATGGGGACTGTGGCGGTCAAACAAACCCCCTTGCGGGTTTGCTTTGTTGTCAAAAGCGAGCTCTTCACTTTTTCCTAGCTCTTCAGTCCCTTCACAAGAGTTTCCCCCCCAAATCTCTGGTTTTGACTTCATCTCCTCATTGGTCACTCTGCTTGGGTGTGATGGCACGATCGTCAGCATAGATTGTTTCCTCAGATCTCAAGATGCTCGTCTGTGCTTAAGGTGAAAAAAGCACACATCTATAAGTTAGTGGATTAGGAATACACTGGTTTTACCTGTGATAGGCAGTAAGAGCACCTAAAGCTTTGGAGAGCTTCTGTTCAACCATTTCAAAGCTCCCTGCTTGGGCGGTGATGGCACGATCGTCAGCATAGATGGTTTCCTCAGATCTCGAGATGCTCGTCTGTGCTTAAGGTGAAAAGCACGTCTGCATTTTAGATGGAGCATCTAAAGCTTCGAAGAGCTTCTATTCAACCATTTCAAAGCTCCCTGCTTGGGCAGTGATGGCATAATCGTCAGCATAGATTGTTTCCTCAGATCTCGAGATGCTCACCTGTACTTAAGGTGAAAAGCACATGTCTCTGTGTTAGATGGATGAGGAATCAGATGGTTTCCTCTGTGATAGGCAGTAAGAGCACCTAAAGCTTCAGAAAGCTCCTATTCAACCATTTCCAAACTCCCTGCGTGGGCGGTGATGGCACGATCATCAGCATAGATGAAACTTAGATGGATTAGAAATCAGCTGGTTTTCCCTGTGATAGGCAATAAAAGCACCTAGAGCTTCGGAGAGCTTCTGATCAGCCATTGCAAAGCTCCCTGCTTGGGCAGTGATGGCACGATCATCAGCATAGATTGTTTCCTCAGATCTCGAGATGCTCATCTGTGCTTAAGGTGAAAAGCACATGTCTCTGTGTTAGATGGATGAGGAATCAGCTGGTTTCCCCTAAAATAGGCAGTAAGGGCACCTAGAGCTTTGGAGAGCTTCTGTTCAACCATTTCAAAGCTCCCTGCATGGTTGGTGATGGCATGATCGTCAGCATAGATTGTTTCCTCAGATCTTGAGATGCTCGTCTGTGCGTAAGGTGAAAAGCACACATCTGCATTTTAGATGAATTAGGAATCGGCTAGTTTTCCCTGTGATAGGCAGTAAGAGCACCTAGAGCTTCGGAGAGCTTCTGTTCAACCATTTCAAAGCTTCCTGCTTGGGCGGTGATAGCATGATCGTCAGCATAGATGGTTTCCTCAGATCTCGAGATGCTCATCTGTGTGTAAGGTGAAAAGCACACGTCTCTGTGTTAGATGGATTACGAATCAGAGGGTTTCCCCTGTGATAGGCAGTAAGAGCACCTAGAGCTTCGGAGAGCTTCTATTCAACCATTTCAAAGCTCCCTGCATGGGTGGTGATGGCATGATCGTCAGCATAGATTGTTTCCTCAGATCTTGAGATGCTCGTCTGTGCGTAAGGTGAAAAGCACACATCTGCATTTTAGATGAATTAGGAATCGGCTAGTTTTCCCTGTGATAGGCAGTAAGAGCACCTAGAGCTTCAGAGAGCTTCTATTCAACCATTTCAAAGCTTCCTGCTTGGGCGGTGATGGCATGATCATCAGCATAGAGGATTTCCTCAGATCTCAAGATGCTCGTCTGTGCTTAAGGTGAAAAGCACATGTCTGAATTTTAGATGAATTAGGAATCGGCCAGTTTTCCCTGTGATAGGCAGTAAGAGCACCTAAAGCTTCGGAAACCATTTCCAAGCTCCCTGCTTGGGTAGTGATGGCACGATCATCAGCATATATAAAACTTAGATGGATTAGAAATCAGCTGGTTTCCCCTCTAATTAGCAGTAAGAGCATCTAAAGCTTCAGAGAGCTTCTGTTCAATCATTTCAAAGCTCCCTGCTTGAGCGATGATAGCATGATCGTCAGCATAGATAGTTTCCTCAGATCTCTAGATGCTCATCTGTGCTTAAGGTGAAAAGCACATATCTCTGTGTTAGATGGATTAGGAATCAGCTGGTTTCCCCTGTGATAGGCAATAAGAGCACCTAGGGCTTTGGAGAGCTTTTATTCAACCATTTCAAAGCTCCCTGCTTGGGCGGTGATGGCACGATCGTCAGCATAGATTGTTTCATCAGATCTCGAGATGCTCATCTGTGCTTAAGGTGAAAAGGACACGTCTCTGTGTTAAACGGATTAGGAATCAGCTGGTTTTCCTTGTAATAGGCAGTATGAGCACCTAAAGCTTCGGAAAGCTTCTGTTCAACCATTTCAAAGCTCCCTGCTTGGGTGGTGATGGCATGATCATCAGCATAAATGGTTTCCTCAGATCTCGAGATGCTTGTCTGTGCTTAAGGTGAAAAGCACACGTCTCTGTGTTAGATGGATTACGAATCAGACGGTTTCCCCTGTGATAGGCAATAAGAGCACCTAGAGCTTCGGAGAGCTTCCCTTCAACCATTTCAAAGCTCCCTGCTTGGGTGGTGATGGCACGATCGTCAGCATAGATGAAACTTAGATGGATTAGGAATCAGCATAGATTGTTTCCTCAGATCTTGAGATGCTTGTCTGTGCTTAAGGTGAAAAGCATATGTCTCTGTGTTAGATGGATGAGGAATCAGCTGGTTTCCCCTGTAATAGGCAGTAAGAGGACCTAAAGCTTCAGAGAGCTTCTGTTCAACCATTTCCAAGCTCCCTCCTTGAGCAGTGATGGCATGATCATCAGCATAGATGGTTTCCTCAGATCTCGAGATGCTCATCTGTGCTTAAGGTGAAACGCATATATCTGCATTTTAGATGAATTAGGAATCGGCTAGTTTTCCCTGTGATAGGCAGTAAGAGCACGTAAAGCTTCAGAGAGCTTCTGTTCAACCATTTCAAAGCTCCCTCCTTGAGCATTGATGGCATGATCGTCAGCATAGATGGTTTCCTCAGATCTCGAGATGCTGATTTCCTATGAAGCAATTGAAGTGGTATTCCATTGCGATACTATACATTTTTCTCATGAGGAATGTGATGATTGACAGTGTCACAAGCTGCTGACAGGCCTATGAAGGCAGCTCCTCTAATCTGCTGCCTTCCAAAGCCATCTTCTATGTGCTGGGACAAGAAACGGTGTGCGCATGCGCGCTGGGAATAGACTTGCCTCTCCTAGGATTCAACGCGGATGAGAAACAGTGTGCGCATGCGCGCTGGGAGTCGCTTTCCCTCCTAGGATACAACGCGGATGAGAAACGGTGTGCGCATGCGCGCTAGGAGTCGCTTTCCCTCTCCTGGGAGTCTACGCGGATGATTAACGGTGTGCGCATGCGCGCTGTGAGTCGACTTCCCTTTCCTAGGAGCCTTCCCAACGCGGATGAGGCTTCGAGAACGATGTGCGCATGCGCGCCTGACTCGAGTTGACTCCATCTCCCAAGATCATTCTTCATTGGCCAATGCATCTCTGAGGAGAAATGATGTGCACATGCGCACTGAGAGAGCGCGTCCGCCTCGAGTTGACTCCATCTCCCAAGATCCTTCCTCATTGGCCAACACAGCCGAGGCTTCTGGGAGTTGAAGTCTGGCCAAGGGGAAGCGCGCAAGTGTCCCTCTCCGGCCGCCGTCCTCCCGTCCGTTTGTTTCCCTGGCGCCGGAGAGGCCCAAGATGGCGGCGGTGGCGGCGGAGCTGGAGCGCGTCCGCGTCTCGGCGGCGGAACTGAGGCGAGGGATGTTCGCCGAGGCCGAGACCGCGGCGCCGGGGAGGCACGGAGCAGGTGAGGCCCGGGCCGAGCGGGGGAAGCGGGGAAGCGGGCGGCTTCCGGGCCGAATCCGGAATAAGGCGGCCTGTGTGTGGACTCCAGGGGGCGTGGCCTCCCGCTCTGAGGGGCCCCAGGGCCTCCCGCCAGGATCCTCGAGGGGCAGGCACCCCGTGTCCCTTCACACGAGCGCCGAGACACGTGTCAGAGATGCGTGTCACCTCCTGGGTGCCTTTTTTTCTCATTTTAGTGGTCCCCTACTTCACTTGAGGTGAATGTGGGGTTTAAGCCATCTGTTGTTGTTATTATTTCCCTTGAAATGATTTTGCAGTCTAAGCCATGTAATACTATTACTATTATTGTTTCACTTGAAGTGAATTTGGCGGCTAAACCATCTATTATTATTATTATTATTATTATTATTATTTCTCTTGAAGTGAATGTGAAGTCTAAGCCATCTATTATTAATACTTTCCTTGAAGTGAATCTGTTGTTGTTGTTGTTTCACTTGACGTAAATGTGGGGTCTAAGCCATCTATTATTATTATTATTATTATTATTATTATTTTACTTGAAGTGAATTTCAGGTCTAAGCCATCTATTATTGTTGTTGTTGTTGTTGTTTCACTTGAAGTGAATTTCAGGTCTAAGCCACCTATTATTAGTATTATTATTATTAATATTTCCCTTGAAGTGAATTTGAAGTCTAAGCCATCTATTATTATTATTATTATTATTATTTCTCTTGAAGTGAATTGAAGTCTAAGCCATCTATTATTATTAATAATAATACTTTCCTTGTTGTTTTTGTTTCACTTGACTTAAATGTGGGGTCTAAGCCATCTATTATTATTATTATTATTATTATTATTTCACTTGAAGTGAATTTGGAGTCTAAGTCATCTATTATTATTATTATTATTATTATTATTATTATTATTATTTCCCTTGAAGTGAATTTCAGGTCTAAGCCATCTGTTGTTGTTGTTGTTGTTGTTGTTGTTTCACTTCACGTGAATTTGGAGTCTAAGCCAGCTATTGTTGTTGTTGCTGTTGTTGTTGCTGTTGTTGTTTCCCTTGAGGTGAATTTGGAGTCTAAGCCTTCTATTATTATTATTATTATTATTTCCCTTGAAGTGAATTTGGAGTCTAAGCCCTCTATTATTATTGTTGTTGTTGTTTTGTTGTTGTTGTTGTTGTTTCACTTGAAGTGAATTAGGAGTCTAAGCCATCCATTATTATTATTATTATGGTTTCACCTGAAGTGAATTTGAGGTCTAAGCCATCTGTTGTTGTTGTTGTTGTGACGTGAATGTGGGATCTAAGTCATCTATTTTTATTATTATTTCACTTGAGTTGAATTTGGGCTCTAAGTCATCTTTTCTTCTTCTTCCTATTATTTCACTTGAGCCATCTGTTAATATTTCCCTTGAAGTGATTTTGGAGTCTAAGCCATCTATTATTATTGTTGTTATTATTTCACATGAAGTTAATTTGGAGTCTAAGCCATCTATTATTATTTCACTTGTGGCGAATTTGGGGTCTAAGTCATCTATTATTATTATTATTATTATTTCATTTGAGCCATCTATTATTATTTTTATTTCCCTTGAAGTGATTTTAGAGTCTAAGCCAGGGGTCCTCAAACTAAGGCCCGGGGGCCGAATGTGGCCCTCCAAGGTCATTTACCTGGCCCTCGCTTAGGGTCAACCTAAGTCTGAAACGACTTGAAAGTACACAACAACAACAACAATCCTATCTCATCAGCCAAAATAGGCCCAAACTTCCCATTGAAATACTAATAAATTTATATTTGTTTAAATTGTTCTTCATTTTAATTATTATATTGTTTTAAGTGGTTTTTGCACTACAAATAAATTATGTGCACTGTACATAGAAATTCATTCATGGTTTTTTTTCAAATTATAATCCGGCCCTCCAACAGTTTGAGGGATTGCGACCTGGCCCTCTGTTTAAAAAGTTTGTGGACCCTTGGTCTAAGCCTTCTATTTTATTATTATTATTATTATTATTATTATTATTATTATTATTTCACTTGAAGTGAATTTTAGTCTAAGCCATCTATTATTATTATTATTTCCCCTAAAGTGATTTTGGAGTCTAAGCCATCTATTATTATTATTATTATTATTAGGATCCTGCTTAAGTCCATTGAGGATGAGAAGAAGTCATGGCTATCCGGCCTGTTTCCATGACTTCGGGACCGGGCAAGAATCTGTTGGCATGGACACCAACTCCCAGGGTTCTGATGCTTCCTGGCTCAGATCCCTTGAAGGAACTGGCCCTTCATTGCTTTGGCCTGCAAGCCAACACTATGGCAGATGGTCAGTGGGACCCACCTGCTGCCAGTGGGACATTTGCCCCTGCAGAAGGTTTGTCCTGGTGCTATGATTTGTGGGTTTCAACCATGTATACGAAAGTATCATCCTCATTGGGTTGCTGTAAGTTTTTCGGGCTGTATGGCCATGTTCCAGAAGCATTCTCTCCTGACGTTTTGCCTGCATCTATGGCAGGCATCCTCAGAGGTTGTGGGGTCTGTTGGGAACTAGGACAATGGGGTTTATATATCTGTGGAATGTCCAGGGTGGGAGAAAGATCTCCTGTCTGTTTGAGGTAGGTGTGAATGTAGCAATTGGCCACCTTGGACCGGACTGTGGCGCAGCTAGTTAGTAGTCAGCTGTTTTAAATCAGTACTGACAAAGAGGTCATGAGTTTGAAGCCAGCCCGGGTTGGAGTGAGCTCCCGACCATTAATAGTCTAGTTTGCTGTTGACCTATGATTCCTGGGTTATTTGAGAAAGGAATTGTGTATCAAGGTTGGTCTTTATCTGTTATTTATATGGCTTGCAGTGGTCTCAGGAAGTTAGTGAAGTTACTGCAAGTCCCATCATCTCTGGTCCATCCTCCTCCAAACTGCACCAGGATGGAGAGTGGGTCATGGGGGCTCTGTGTGCCAAGTTTGGTCTTGATAAGTCATTGGATGAGGGTCACAGTCGTCTCAGAAAGTGAGTTAAGGTACTGCAAGTCCCATCATCCATAGTCTGTTCTCCCCCAAACCTCACCAGAACGTTGAATTGGCCATGGAGGCTCTCTGTGCCAAGTTTGGTCTTTATTGGTATTTGGATGAGTGTCTTTGTGGTTTCAGGAAGTGAGTGAAGGTACTGCAAGTCCCATCGTCCGTCCTCCTCCAAACAGCACCAGGACGTAGAGTGGCTCATGGGGGCTCTGTGTGTCAAGTTTGGTCTTGATCGGTCATTAGATGAGGGTTGCAGCAGTCTTGGGAAGTGAGTGGAGGTACTTGAAGTTCCATCATCCATGGTCTGTCCTCCTTGAAAGTGCACCAGGATGTAGAGTGGGTCATGGGGGCTCTGTGTGCCAAGTTTGGTCTTGATCAGTCATTGGCAAAGATCTCAGTGGTTTCAGGAAGTGAGTGAAGTGACTGCAAGTGCCATCATCCATTCTCAAATTCTTCCAAACCGCACCAGGATGTAGAGTGGGTCATGCGGTCTCTCTGTGTAAATTGTGGTCCTGATCCATCATTGTTGGCAGTTGTAATGGTCTCAGGAAGGGAGTGCAGGTATTGCAAGTCCCATCATCCATGGTCTGTCCTCCTCGAAAGTGCACCAGGATGTATAACTTGATTGTTTTAACTGTTTTATAATTGCTGTTGATACATGTTTTATCTTATTGTCTGTTGTTGGCATCGAATTGTGCCTTTTGTAAGCCGCCTTGAGTCCCCCCTCGGGGGTTGAGAAGGGCAGGGTAGAAATGAGCCAAATAAATAAATAAATAGAGGGGGTCATGGGGGCTCTGTGTGCCAAGTTTGGTCTTGATTAGTCATTGGATGAGGGTCGCAGCGGTCCCGGGAAATGAGTGGAGATACTTCAGGTCCCATCATCTGTGGTCCATCCTCCTCCAAACTGCACCAGGATGTAGAGTGGGTCATGGGGGCCATGTGTGCCAAGTTTGGTCTTTATCAGTCTTTTTGGGGGGCTGCAGTAGTCTGTGGGAACAAAAGGGGTGGGAAAGTACTACAAATCCCATCATCCATTGTCTGTTCTCCCCCAAACCTCACCAGGACGTAAAGGGGGTCATGGGGATTATGTGCGCCAAGTTTTGTCTTGATCGGTCATTGGATGAGGGTCGCAGCGGTCTCGGGAAGTGAGTGGAGGTACTTCAAGTCCCATCATCCATGTTCTGCCCTCCTCCAAACTGCAGTGGGATGTAGTGTGGGTCATGGGGGCTCTGTGTGCCAGGTTTACTCTTTATTGCTCTTTGTTGGGGACCACAATGGTTTGTGGGAACCAATGGGTTTGAAAGTACTACAAATCCCATCAACCTTTGTCCGTCCTCCCGCAAACCTCACCAGGACGTAAAGGGGGTCATGGGGGTTATATGTGCCAAGTTTGGTCACAGTGGCCTGTGAAAGTGGCAGCCAATCAGAAAGCTGCCACATACATCGTCCTCCCTCCACATACAAACACTGACTTTTATTATATAGATAGAAAATAGATTATGATTTTAGAGCTTTTTAATGATTATTGTGTTAATGTTTATTGTTATTGCTTGAATGTTTATTGTTTTGCTTTATGAGTTTTATTGTTGTATTTGTTGTGCTGTTGTTTTATTGAGGGCCTTGGCCTTTGTAAGCCGCACCGAGTCCTTCGGGAGATGTTAACGGGGTATAAATAAAGTTAACAACAATAAATAATAATAATCAATACTGGTAGCAGGATTGTGTTCATTTTCATGGTTTCTCCCTTTCTATTGACATTGTCCACATGGATTTCAGTGGCTTTTCTGGGTTGAAATTTGGTTGGTATCAAAACTTATTTTTCGGGGACATAACAGCCCTTTCTTCCGCTTTGCAGAGACGACGAAGGAGCCCCGTCACCGGAAAGACAACCGGCGCCCGGACCTTGAGATCTACAAGCCGGGCCTTTCCCGGTTGCGGAACAAGCCCCCAGCCGCCAAACCGGAGGAGCCCAAGGAAGCCGTGGTTCTTGGCAAGAGCTCCCCATCTCCTTCCAGCAGAGAGGAGCCTCAGAGTGGGAACACCCAGCAGCCGAATGGCATCCTAGAAGGGAGCGCGGAAGAATGGTGCCCTCGGATCATCCGGAGGAATAAAAAGCCCGACCAACAGATCTACCAACCTGGGAAGCGCCTTCAGGCCTCTTCCAAGGAGCCTGCGGTTGAGGAGGAGAAGGGCAAGGAGCCCGAGAAGGAGGCGGAGAGAGAGAAGGGCAACGAAGGGAGAAGCCGGACCGCGGATTCAGAGGAGAAAGTGGGGCTAAAAGAGGGGAATCGGCCCCTGCCTCGAGGGGAGAAGGGCAAGCGAACGGAGCGGCCCAAAGAAGGCAATGGCAAAATGGGCACCCCAAAGCGCTACTCGCGTTCGGACAAGCGCCGCAACCGATACCGCACCTGCAGCACCAGTTCGGCCGGCAGCAATAATAGTGTGGACGGCGCTGAAGTCAGGAAGAAGAGGCCGGAGCCCGCGAAGGAGAGGCCTCGCTCCCATCAACAGTTTCCACAGCAGTCGGCTTCCTCCACGGATTCATTCGACGATGACCGGATCGAAGAGAATAAGGAGAGACACTCGGATCACGGCTGGGTTTCGAAAGGGCCGCATCCCAATAGGGCTGGCCCCGGAGACCCCGTGGAGTCTGAAGCGAAGCCCCACGGAAGGGGCCGTGGGATTCTGGTTCTCCCGGCCAACACGGACCTCACTTTGGGAGAGTCGGCCCATCCGGCGGGGCCTCGGCTCCTCTTTGGGAACGGGGTCGGCAAAGGATCGCGGGGAAGGGGCCGAGGGGGTGCCGGCCGGCGGCTCTGGGACCCCAATAACCCGGAACAGAAGCCGGCACTCAAGACCCAAGCGGCTCCGTTGCACTTCCTGGACACGGATGATGAAACGACTCCCTCTCCCAGGCCGTCTAACGCTCAGGCTTCCTACTACCGCTTCCAGAACTCGGACAATCCCTACTCCTATGGCCGTCCAGCTTACCCGTTCACCGGCTACAACGTGTTCTACCCCAGCAACGGGGTCTACCCAGGGCCCTACTACCACCAAACTGGCGGCAACCCAAACCACGAAGCTTACTTGTGCGGCAGTCCGTTACTGGCTGCCCCGCTCAGCCCTGAGATGGAGCAGCAGGTCCGCAGCCTCCAGCAGCAGGAGCTGAGCAAGGTCCTCCGCGAAGCCGGGAACCTGGAGCAGCAGCTGAGCAACCTCCTCTCCAGGGACCGGCTCAGCCTTGAAGGCCTGGAGAAGATGGGGCAGCTCCGGTGAGGCTCGGGAAACGGAATGGGAGAGGGGTCCGGGCCTAGGAGGGTTGTGTCCAAGGGTCATAGAGGTGGAAGGGGCCGCAAAGACCATCCAGTCCAATTCCCAGAGATAGATCAATAGAGACAGAAAGCCAGGCACAGGCAGAGAGGTCGATAATAATAATAATAATAATAATAATAATAATAATAATAATAATAAACTTTATTTGTACCCCACCACCATCTCCCCAAAGGGGACTCAGAGCGGCTTACATGGGGCAAAGCCCGAACAAGAATGACAATATAACAATACACATTGCAATCAAATAAACATAACATTAAAATATAAAACAATATACATATATGCCCCATTTACTAATAATATAATATAATATAATATAATATAATATAATATAATATAAATATAATATATATAATATATAATATATAATATAATATTATATAAACATATAATATTTATAATATTATAATGTAATACAATATAATACTAGTAATGATAATACAATATTATAATTATAATTATATATTTAAATTACATGTAATATTACTAATAATATTACAATATAATGGTATAGCGCAATATAGTAATAAATAATACTGATATTTTACTATGCTAATAATATAATATATTGTATGAAAATATATATTGTAAGCCACTCTGAGTCCCCTTCAGGGTGAGAAGGGCAGCATATAAATGCCATAAATAAATAAAATAAATAAATGTACCCTTCTATACCATCCGGTTTCTGAATCCAGATTATCTGTTTTTAACTGGATTACATGGCAGTGTGGACTCATATAATCCAATCTGAAGCAGATATTTATTTATTTAGATGGATTAGGAATCAGCTGGTTTTCCCTGTAATAGGCAATAAGACCACCTAAAGCTTCGGAGCGCTTCTGTTCAACCATTTCAAAAACCCCTGCTTGAGAGGTGATGGCACGATCATCAGCATAGATGAAACTCTCTGTCCCTTCTGGCAGTAGCTGATCATTTGTGTAGATGTTAACCACTGATGGAGCAAGCACACTCCCTGGAGGCAGGCCGTTCTTCTGTTTCCACCATCTGCTTCTCAACAAAAAAACTCCTGTTTTGTAGCAGTTTTCCTATGAAGTGGGTGAGGTGGTGATCCTTTGTAATATTATATATATATGATATTACATGTAATATTACTAATAATATTACAATATAATGATATAGTACAATATAGTCATATATAAAACTGATATTGTGCTATGCTAATAATATAGTATATTGTATGTATGTATATCTTGTAAGCCGCTCTGAGTCCCTTTCGGGGTGAGAAGGGCAGCATATAATTGTTGTAACTAAATAAAAATCCAATTGCATCATTCAAAAAGGGTATGGACAAAGTGAAAGCTCTCACCGCCTCTTTTCGTGCCTCCAATTAAACAAAGTGTTGGTAGTTTAATAAACTTTTCCCAACTTTTTATGATGGAACCAATTAGGAAATGACATTTTATAACCCAGGCACAAAAGTCGTGTTATGTCGTGCTATTATTATTATACTTATATTATAATATAATATAATTATATTATTGTTATTAATATTTTATTTTATATTATTGATATTATATTATAATTATTACAATATATTATTTATATTATTATCTTATTAATCTATATAAATAAAAACATAATGTTCGTTTGTGGGATTAACATAACTCAAAAACCACTCAATGAATTGACACCAAATTTGGACACTACACCCCTAACAGACCAATGAGTGACCATCACTCATTAACACCCCCCCCCCAAAAAAAACCAGTGGAAAGGACTTTAAAACCCCCAAAAAAGCTAAATGGTGAAAAACTAAATGACAATACAGAAAAAAGGGGAAGGAAAAGGGAGGGAAGGGGAGAAAGAAAATAAGAAAGAGAGAAGGAGGGAAAGAAAGAAGGATGGAAAGGGAAGGAAGGAAAGAGGTAGAGAAAGAAGAAAAGAGAAGGAAAAGAAAAAAGGGGGAAGAAAGGAAAGAGGTAGAGAAGGAAGGAGAGAAGGAAAGAAAATAAGGGAAGGAAGGAAAGAGGGAGTGTAGGAAGGAGGGAAAGAAGGAAAGAAAGAGGGAGAGAAGGAAAGAGAGAACGAAGGAAGGAAAGACGGAAGAAAGAGGGAGAAAAGGAAGAAAGAGGAAAAAGGGAAAGAAAAAGGGAGGGGAAGGAAGGAAAAAGGTAGAGAAGGAAGGAAGGAAGGAGAGAAAGAAAGAAAAAAGGGAAGGAAGGAAAGAGCGAGGGAAGGAAGGAGAGAAAGAAAGAAGAGAAAGAGGGAGGAAAGGTTGGCCACAGCAATGCGTGGCAGGTATAGCTAGTATTATAATATATTATTATGTTATCAATATATTATTATATATTATATTTAACATAAACTCCCTAAAATAGATAGATAGATAGAGATACGTAGATATGTACACGATGTGGCATTAAATGTCTCCCATAGTTTGCAAGCCGCTCTGAGTCACCTTTGGGGTGAGAAGGGCGGAGTATAAATAAAGTAAATAAATAAATGGATAAGTTAGATAAATAGAGATATATAGAACATTAGAATCCTATAGTCACAGCCATGTGTCCATTCCTGATCAGCATTGATTCCTATTTGCCGTTTTAGGGCCGAAATGCTGCAGCTGTACGAACGCTGCCTCCTGGCGGACATTGAGTTTGCCGATGCCCAGAACGTGGACCAGCTCCTCTGGAAGAACGCCTTCTATCAGGTCATTGAGAAGTTCCGTCAGTTGCTCAAGGACCCCCTTGCGGAGAGCGGTCAAGAGATCCGCAACAAGTTGCTCCAGATCCTGGATGAGGTACCCACGGCCTTGTGTGTTACAGTCAATGTATAGACAGGCAGAGTTACATACATCCCCTGAGTCAAAACAGGGCTGAGACAACAGGGAGAGAAAACTGCCCCTTGGAAGGAAGGGAAGTCCATTTCTGGAAGAGTTATTATGATGGGGGGAAAGGGGTCTCCACTGAAGCATTATCCCCAATCCGTGTTTCCACAACAAGCCAAATTTCCCAAAATCCAATTCTCACAGGGACAGGGAGTGAGGTGAAATCTCAACAGGAGCATACACAGCAAAGGAGGCCCCCATAGTGATATTAACCCTTCATTATGCCATCCAAAGCTATAAAATACGTATTTTTGACTTTAAAATGTTCCTGTTTCGACTTACATACAAACTCAACTTCAAAACAAAGCGACAGAACCTACCTTGTTCATAAATTTGTGACTGCCTGTATGTGTATGTATGTATATATATATATGTATGTGTGTGTAAATATATACACACACACATACATACATACACTAGCCATCCCCTGCCATGCGTTGCTGTGGCCCAGTCTGTGTATATATGTTTTTTGTGTGTGTATGTGTGATTTTGCACATGTGTTGTAATGTATTTTTTATTTTTTGGCTTTTTAAGTCTCGTTCGCTGTGTTTCCAAGTGTTTTTATGAGTGATGGTCACTCGTTGGCCTGATGGGTGTATTGTGTCCAAATCTGGTGTCAATTCGCCCAGTGGTTTTTGAGTTATGTTTATCCCACAAACGAACACTGCATTTTTATTTATATGGACCTGGAACTAACTTGGCACACAGAACCCCCAAGACCAGCAAAAAAACAGAGGGATTTAGAGGAGTTGTAGTTCACCTACATCCAGAGCGCACTGTGAATCCAAACAATGATGAATCTGGACCAAACTTGGCATGCATACCTGATACGCCCATATTTGAATATTGGTGGGTTTTGTGGGGAATTGGCCTGGACATTTGGGAGTTGTAGGTACTGGGACTTGTAGTTCACATACCATCAATGAGCACTCTGTACTCCACTGAAGTGGGAATTGGACCAAACTTGGCAGACAGAGCCCCCATGACGAGCAAAAAATACTGGAAGTCTTTGGGGGAAATTCACCTTGATTTGGGGGAGTTGTAGTTCACCTACATCCAGAGCGCACTATGAACCCAAACAATGAGGGATCTGGACCAAACTTGGCATGCATACCCGATATGCCCTAATTTGAATACTGGTGGGATTTGTGGGGAATTGGCCTGGACATTTGGGAGATGTAGGTACTGGGATGTATAGTTCACCTACAATCAGTGAGTACTCTGAACTCCACCAAAGATGGAATTGGACGAAACTTGGCAGACAGAGCCCCCATGACAAGCAAAAAATACTGGAAGTCTTTGGGGGAAATTCACCTTGAGTTGGGGGAGTTGTAGTTCACCTACATCCAGAGCGCACTATGAACCCAAACAATGATGAATCTGGACCAAACTTGGCATGCATACCTGATACGCCCATATTTGAATATTGGTGGGTTTTGTGGGGAATTGGCCTGGACATTTGGGAGTTGTAGGTACTGGGACTTGTAGTTCACATACCATCAATGAGCACTCTGTACTCCACTGAAGTGGGAATTGGACCAAACTTGGCAGACAGAGCCCCCATGACGAGCAAAAAATACTGGAAGTCTTTGGGGGAAATTCACCTTGATTTGGGGGAGTTGTAGTTCACCTACATCCAGAGCGCACTATGAACCCAAACAATGAGGGATCTGGACCAAACTTGGCATGCATACCCGATATGCCCTAATTTGAATACTGGTGGGATTTGTGGGGAATTGGCCTGGACATTTGGGAGATGTAGGTACTGGGATGTATAGTTCACCTACAATCAGTGAGTACTCTGAACTCCACCAAAGAGGGAATTGGACCAAACTTGGCAGACAGAGCCCCCATGACCAGCAAAAATGCTGGAGGTTGTTGTCGGTTTTTTCGGGCTATATGGCCATGTTCTAGAGGCATTCTCTCCTGACGTTTTGCCTGCATCTATGGCAAGCATCCTCAGAGGTAGTGAGGTGAAGATGCTTGCCATAGATGCAGGCGAAATGTCAGGAGATAATGCCTCCAGAACATGGCCATATAGCCCCAAAAAACCTACAACAACCCAGTGATTCCGGCCATGAAAGCCTTCGACAATACTGGAAGTCTTTGGGGGAAATTCACCTTGATTTGGGGGAGTTGTAGTTCACTTACATCCAGGGAGCACTGTGAACCCAAACACCGCTGGATGTGGACCAAACTTGGCACACAGACCTGATATGCCAGGATTGGATGACTGAAGGGGGTTTCAGGGGAAGTGACCTTCCTTTGGCCCATTGCCTCTCCCCTTTTCTCTGCAGGGCACCCTCTTCTTCGACAGCCTTTTGCAGAAGCTACAGGTCACTTACCAGTTCAAGCTAGAGGACTACATGGACGGGATGGCGGTCCGCAGCAAGCCCCTGCGGAAGACGGTGAGGGAGCCTTGCCTTTCAGGAGCTCGGTAGTTCAGCACCTTGGCCTTAGGGTGGGGGCTGGCCGTAATAATAATAACCTTTATTTATACTCCGCCACCATCTCCCTGATGGGGACTCGGGCCGGCTTACATGAGGCCAAGCCCAAACAACAAATTACAGCAAAATAAAAATGAAAACAATAAACAACCACAAATACATAAAACATATGAATGCATAACAATCTAAAATTGCAGTAAACACAATCACGTAGCCATGTAGAGCTGGATTTCCTCTTCCTCTCCATTGGAAATGATATTCACAGTGCTGTCGTTCTGTCCGTTTCCTTTCCCAGGTGAAGTATGCCCTCATCAGCGCCCAGCGGAGCCTGATCTGCCAGGGAGACATCTGCCGGTACAGGGAGCAAGGCAGCGAGACCGCCAACTATGGCAAAGCGCGCAGGTAAGGAAGGAAAGAAGGAGAGAAAGAATAGGAAGGGAAGGGAATAAGGAAGGATTTTCACTTTTCGCGAGTGGTCCTGGAACATAACACCCACGATAAGTGAGGGAACACTGTAATAATAATAAGGAAAGGGGAAAGAAGGAAGGAAAGGAGGAGGGAGGAAAGGAGAGGAAGGAATATAAATACTAGGCATTTTTTTTGTCGTGTCAGGGCAACCAGTCAATTATATTACATTTCTAACAGAACAAAGCAAACAAACAGACAAAATACAAAATTTGTGAGTTTGGTAGTTGATTAAATGTCCTTTGACCAGTATCTGAGAGAAAAGGGGAGAAAAGAAGGAAGGAGAGAAGGAATGGGAGAGAAGGAGAAAGGAGGGGAAGGCAAGAGAAGGAAGGATGGGAAGAAATAAGGAAACGTTATTGTAAGCCACCGTGAATTCCTTTAGGGTTAAATTGAGGATAGAAATAAGGTAAATAATAATAGTAATAATACGAAAAGAAGGAAGGAAGGAAGAAAAGAAAGAGAGGAAGGAGGAAAGGAGAGGAAGAAAGAAGGGCAGGAAGGATTATGAAGAAGGAAGAGAGAGAAGGAATGGGAGGGAGGGAGAAAGGAGAAGGCGGCAAGAGAAGGAAGGATGGAAAGAAATAAGGAAATTTTACTGTAAGCCACCTTGAATTCCTTTAGGGTTAGTGTAAGGATAGAAATAAGGTAAATAATAATCGTAATAGAAGGAAGGAAGGAAGGAAAAGAAAGAGAGGAAGGAGGAAAGGAGAGAAAGAAGGGAGGGAAGGATTTTGAAGAAGGAAGGAGAGAAAGAAGGGAGGGAAGGACTATGAAGAAGGAAGGAGAGAAGGAATGGGAAGGAGGGAGAAAGGAGAGGAAGGCAAGGAAAGGAAGGAGGGAGGCAAAGAAATAAGGAAGGAAATGCTTTTGTATGCCACCTTGATTAAAGGAAGGATAGAAATAAAGTAAATAATAATCCTAATCGTAATAATACAAAAAGAAGGAAGGAAGAAAAGAAAGAGAGGAAGGAGGAAAGGAGAAGAAGAAAGAAGGGAGGGAACATCTATGAAGAAGGAAGGAGAGAAGGAATGGGAGACAGGCAAGGAAAGGAAGGATGGAGGCAAAGAAATAAGGAAGAAAATGCTATTGTACGCCACCTTGATTAAAGGAAGGATAGAAATAAAGTAAATAATAATCATAATTGTAATAATACAAAAAGAAGGAAGAAAGGAGGGAAGGAAGAAAAGAGAGAGGAAGGAGGAAAGGAGAGGAAGAAAGAAAGAAGGACTAGGAAGAAGGAAGAGAGAGAAGGAAGGAGAGAAGGAATGGGAGGGAGGAAGAAAGGAGAGGAAATCAAGGGAAGTACACCACCTTGAGGTTCTTTAGGATTAAAGGAAGGATAGAAATAAAGTAAATCATAATCATAATCGTAATAATACAAAAAGAAGGAAGGAAGGAAGAAAAGAAAGAGAGGAAGGAGAAAAGGAGAGGAAGAAGAAAGGAGAGAAAAAGGAAGGAGAGAGTGGGAAGGAAGCCGCCCTGAGTTGCCCTCGGGCTGAGAAAGGCAGTATAGAAATATAGTAAATAAATAAATAAAATAAATAAGGGCAATCACACACAATTGTGGAAGGGCAGGATGCCGTGACTCCTCTCCTGGTCCTTGCTTCTCTTTCTTGGGTGTGATCATCTTACTCTCCTTTCCCCGTTCTCCCTCCAGTTGGTACCTGAAGGCCCAGCACATTGCCCCCAAGAACGGACGCCCCTACAACCAGCTGGCCCTCCTGGCGGTCTATACGGTAAGAGGGTCAAAGAGAGGCACCGGAAATGAGATATTATCAAGGGGAAAGGGTGTGGATCGAAAGGTTAGCAGTTCAAGCCCAGGTTGGGGTGAGCTCCCAACCGTCAGCCTGGCTTCTGCCCACATAGCAGATTGAGAACAGTAATGTGAGTAGATAAATAGGTACCGCTTTTAGCAGGGAGGTAATAAAAAGGTGCCTATAAGAACATTTTGGCAATTTGATCAGAAGGATGTCTGGGGACTACAAAGCTCTTCCGCATGGAAGATGGAGCCACAGCGCCAACTGGTGGCCAGGGTTGAGCACAGCCTCCAAACGCCAGAAATGGAAAAGATGGGAAAGCCTTTCCCTCTGTTTATATATTGTCTGTCCTTGTTAATTGTATCACCGGATTGAATGTTTGCCATATATGTGTTCTGTAAGTCCCCTCAGGGGGATAGAGTGGAATAAGAATAAAGTACCGTATATACTCGAGTATAAGCCGACCCGAATATAAATGTAATAATAATAGAGTAAAATAATACATGTAATAATAATAATAATAATAATAATAATAATAACAGAGTAAAATAATAAATTGACTCAAGTATAAGCTCACCCGAATATAAATGTAATAATAATCATGTAATAATAACAATAATAACAGAGAAAAATAATAAATAACATTGACTCGAGTATAAGCCGACCTGAATATAAATGTAATAATAATAGAGTAAAATAATACATGTAATAATAATAATAACAGAAAAATAATCAATAATCTTGACTTGAGTATAAGCCATCCCGAATATAAATGTAATAATAATAAAGTAATACATGTCATAATAATAATAATAGAGTAAAATAATAAATAGCCTTGACTCGAGGATAAGCCGACCCGAATATAAATGTAATAATAATAGAGTAAAATAATACATGTAATAATAAGAATAATGACGGAGTAAAATAATAAATAGCCTTGACTTGAGTATAAGCTGAACCGAATATAAATGTTATAATAACAGAGTAAAATAATACATGTAATAATAATAATAACAGAGTAAAATAATACATGTAATAATAATAATAACAGAGTAAAAAAGTAAATGATCTTGACTCGAGTGTAAGTCGACCCGAATATAAATGTAATAATAGTAGAGTAAAATAATACATATAATAATAATAATAACGGAGTAAAATAATACATGTAATAATAATAATAATAGAGTAAAATAATAAATAACCTTGACTCGAGTATAAGCGGAAGGTTTTCTCAGCCTAAAAAAGGGCTTTAAAAACTCAATTATATAAGTATATTATTGTTGTTGTTGTTGTGTCTGCAGCGAAGGAAGCTGGACGCGGTGTATTATTACATGCGCAGCCTGGCCGCCAGCAACCCCATCCTGACCGCCAAGGAGAGCCTCATGAGCCTCTTTGAGGAGACCAAGCGGAAGGTGAGACTTGGGAAGAGGATGAATCAGGGCCTCCCTTCCCTCTCGACGTCCCCTGAATCTCTCCCTTTACGTTCAGGCCGAGCAGCTGGAGCCGAAGAAGAGCCCCGTCCAGCAGCATCCGCAGCGGGGTCCCCACCGCAAGGGCAAGAGGGCCGGCTCCTTGGGCCCCTCGGCCGAGGACAGCACCCGCCTGGAGCGCTGGATCCACCCCTCGCGCCAGAGGCAGAGCCATGACGCCGGGCGCGCCGACTCTTCGGAGCAGGACAGTAACAACAGCCTCCTCGGGAGCCTCAGCCCCAGCGATGTGAGTAGGGGGAGATTTATCCCACTTCCTGTTGTCTCAGTCCCATTCTTAACTAGGGTTTATTTGCAAGTCGGATGTTTGTAACTTGGGAATGCCTGTATTTATTTATTTACGACATTTTTATGCCGCCCTTCTCACCACGAATGGGACTCAGAGCAGCTTACAAGATATATCTATCTATATATATACATACAATTATATTATATTATTAGCATAGCACAATATCAGTATTATATATTATATTGTGCTATACCATTATATTGCAATATTATTAGTAATTATAGTATTGTATTATTATTAGCATAGTACAATATCAGTATTATATATTATTATATTGTGCTATACCGTTCTATTGTACTATTATTAGTAATTATAATATTGTATTATTATTAGTATTATAAGGTATTATGTTATAATATAAATACTATATGTATATACAATATATTATATTATTAGTAATGCTTTATTGCAGTATTTCTCAACCGGGGGGGTCATGAGGTGGTGTCAGAAGAGTCGCTAAAGACTGTCAGAAAATACATGTTGGTCATGGGGGTTCTGTGTGCCAAATTTGGCCCAGTTCTCTCATTGCTGGAGTTCAGAATGCTCCTTGATTGTAGGTGAACTATAAATCTCAGCAACTACAACTCCCAAATGTCAAGGTCTATTTTTCCCAAACTCCACCAGTGTTCACATTTAGACATATTAAGTATCTGTGCCAAGTTTGGTCCACATCCATCATTATTTGAGTCCACAGTGCTCTCTGGATGTGGGTGAACTACAACTCCCAAACTCAAGGTGAATGCCCACCAAACCCTTCCAGTATTTTTTTGGGTCATGGGAGTTCTGTGTGCCAAGTTTGGTTGAATTCCATTGTTGGTAGAGTTCAGAATGCTTATGGTTGGTAGGTGAACTATAAATCCCAGCAACTACAACTCCCAAATGACAAAATCAATCCCCTCCAACCCCACCAGTATTCGAATTGGGGCGTATTGGGTATTTGTGCCAAATGAATGAAAATGCATGTTATGGTTGGGGGGTCACCACCACGTAAGGAAGTGTATTAAGGGGTCGCGGCATTGGGGAGGTTAAGAACCACGGCTTTATTGGATGTGTTGCTTGCAGCCACTGGGTGGCGCTGGTGGCCTTGTTAATGGCAAATGATTGTGGAGGGCAACAATGGGAGAGTCAGCTCTCTTCTGTAAAGTTCGTAGTCTCCGATGCCAGCACTTTCCCTTTCAATTAGAGAGATAAAAGCAGGATATTATTAATATTAATAGTATTAATAATATTAGTAATAATAATAGGAATACCCCTAGTCAAAACGTATCAACACCAGACACGTAGCAACGAAATTCATATATCATAACACACTTGAATAAGGTACCAACACCAAAACATATGGTATGGAGATCAAAATATAGCTGCTCAGAGTCAGAGAAAGCAGGATACAAATAATAATAATAATAATAATAATAATAATAGAATAATAATAATAGTAATAGTAGTAGTAATAATAATAATAATAATAATAATAATAATAATGTAGCGATAGAATCCATATCCAAAACTCATGATTCTAATAATAGTAATTTTAATATTGGTACAACACCTTCAAAACACAACAACATAAGACACGTAGCAACGAAATTCATATATCAAAACACACTTGAATAGGATACCCACACCAAAACACAGCCGTTTGGAGAAAAATTGGGATAGAAATAATAATAATAATAATAATAATAATAATAATATCCTAGGCCCTTGGGAAGATATATTCAGAGAGGAATCCCAAACACTTGGACCTAATGTGCTTGTGTGCTGTGTTGTTATGAACATGGAAATATAATAATAATAATAATAATAATAATAATATATAATATATAATATATAATATATAATATAATAATCACAGCAATATATTATATAATATATAATATAATATAATAGATATAATCATAATGTGTATTTATGTGCAAATAAATCAGTAATAATAATAATAATCTCTTCCTAGGCCCTTGGGAAGATATATTCAGAGACAAATCCCAAACACTTAGATCTAATGTGCTTGTGTGCTATGTTGTTATGGACATGGAAATATAATCATAATATATAATATAATAATCATAGCAATATATAATATATAATAATAATAAATCTAATCATAATAAATATAATCATAATATAATAGTAATAATGTGTCTTTATGTGTAAATAAATCAATAATAATAATAATAATAATAATAATATCATCCTAGGCCCTTGGGAAGATATATTCAGAGACGAATCCCAAACACTTGGACCTAATGTGCTTGTGAGCTGTGTTGTTATGGATGTGTAAATATAATAATAATATACAATATAATAATCATAGCAATATATAATGTAATAAATAATAATATTAAATATCATCATAATAAATATAATCATAATATATAATATAATAATCATAGCAATATATAATATATAATAATATTAAATATAATCATAATAAATATAATGATAATATAATAGTAGTGATGTGTATTTATGTGCAAATAAATCAATAAAAATAAGAATACTAATGTCATCCTAGGCCCATGGGAAGATATATTCAGAGACAAATCCCAAACACTTGGACCTAATGTGCTGTGTTGTTATGGACATGTAAATATAATCATAATATATAATATAATAATCATAGCAATATATAAATGCATAATATAAAATATAAAATACATAATATTAAATATAACCATAATAACTATAAACATAATAGAAATAATGTGTATTTATGTGCAAATAAATCAGTAATAATAATAATAACTTCTTAGGCCCTTGGGAAGATATATTCAGAGACCAATCCCATACACTTGGACATGTGCTTGTGAGCTGTGTTGTTATGGACGTGTAAATATCATAATAATATATAATATAACAATCATAGCAATATATAATATAATACCTAGTAATATTAAATATAATCATAATAAATATAATCATAATAGTAACAATGTCTTTATGTGCAAACAAATCAATAATAATAATAATAATAATACATCACACAGTCCTAGATGCTTGGGAAGTGTTCGACTTGTGATTTTTTGATACAAAATCCAGCATCTATATCTCGTTTGCTGTGACACACTGTGCTTTTGTGTCAGTAATAATAATAATAATAATAATAATAATAATAATAATAATAATACATCACACAGTCCTAGATGCTTGGGAAGTGTTCGACTTGTGATTTTTTGATACGAAATCCAGCATATATATCTCGTTTGCTGTGACATACTGTGCTTTTGTGTCAATAATAATAATAATACAGCAGTGATAGAATGCAGATCACAAACCTGTCATTCTAATAGTATTGATAGTGATAATATTAGCTACTCTTTTTTTTTGAGAAACTGCAAGTCGCTTCTGGTGTGAGAGAATTGGCCGTCTGCAAGGACGTTGCCCAGGGGAGGTTGTCTGGATTTTTTTTGATGTTTGACCATCCTTGTGGGAGGCTTCTCTCATGTCCCCTTTGCATGGGGAGCTGGAGCTGACAGAGGGAGCTCATCCACACTCTCCCCAGATTTGAACCTCCGACCTGTTGATCTTCAGTCCTGCCCATTGTGCCGACACAGCCTTCGTGTCACGTCCTTTGCGTGCCATGCTTGCCACAGAGGAGCGCCAGAGGCGGGGGCCGATGGTTGCCTGGTTCCCCCGCTTTCTGTTTCGGAAACCCGGTTCCCAGGCCGGCAGCAGGGGCACCCTGTGCTCGAGCCCTGACCTCGGTCACCAAAACCACCCTCTTTCGACTTGAGCCATTTCAGGTCTTGCTCTTTGCGCTGCGGTTTCTGCAAAAGAGAGAGAAGTTTCCTCAGAGGAGGAAGCCGCGGTGCCAGGCTGCTTGTGGGCCGGGGAGACGCGGAAACCACATGCCCTGCGACGTGACTCTCAGCACGCAGTTCGCACACCGGAAAAACACGCTTCGCCCCCTCGCTTTCCTTTGGCGCCCTCACCCTTTCCCTGTCAAGAGTCCATCATAGAATCCTAGCGTCAGAAGGAACCCAGAAAAGGCCATCTAGTCCAACCCCATTCTGCCAGGCAGGGAGGCACCATCAAAGCTCTCCTATCCAGCCTCTGCTTATAAACAGCTCTTGCTATTACTTTTTATAACAACAACATAATATAATGGATAATAATGTAATAGTATTTCTATTTTCCACTGAGTCCCATTAAGACAGGAAAAAGGGGGATAAATAGATACTACTTCTACTAATAATAGTAGTAGTAGTAGTAGTAGTAATATAATGGATAATAATGTAATAGCATTTCTGTTTTCCTGCTGAGCAGAAGCCACTGAGTCCCATTAACAGAGGAAAGAAGGGGGTAGATAGATACTACTTCTACTAATAATAGTAATAGTAATAATAATAATAATAATAATAATAATAATAAATGGATAGTAATGTAATAGCATTTCTATTTTCCAGCCTAGCAGAAACTACTGAGTCCCATTAAGACAGGAAAAAGGGGGATAGATAGATACTACTTCTACTATTACTACTACTAGTAATAATAATAATAATAATAGTCATAATAACAATATAATAATGGATAGTAATGTAATAGCATTTCTATTTTCCTGCTGAGCAAAAGCCACTGAGTCCCATTAAGAGAGGAAAGAAGGGGATAGATAGCTACTGCTTCTACTGCTAATAATAATAATAGTCATAATAACAATATAATAATGGATAGTCATGTAATAGTATTTCTATTTTCCTTCTGAGTAGAAGCCACTGAGTCCCATTACGAGAGGAAAGAGAGGGATAGATAGATACATTTTGGTGTGGTTTGGAGGAGAGTGGATCACGAATGATGGGAGTTGCAGTAGCTTCACTCACTTCCTGAGACCACTGCAACCCCCACCAATGACAGACCAGGACCAAACTTGGCTCACAGAGTCCCCTAGACCCACTCTAGACTATGGACAATGGGACTTAAAAATACTTCACTCACTTCCTGAG